GTTACTTAAGCCCCCGGGGATGTTGCCACTGGGTAAACACCGATTCGATGCAAATGAAACACGTGTTCCGAGCTACCGAACGACTAATAATTCCGAATGCGCACACGCGTGTACGCATAGGCACGCGCGTACAGTGGGTACGCGCGAGGAAAGAAATAATCGGAGCGAAGAATGGTTTAGTTGGTCGGATGGAAAATAAGGACGAGAGGAAGGAGAGCAGGCACGTAGGAAGAAATCCTGCTTCGTAGAAATCGTGGCGCGTGTTTCCCTCAACGGCCCTGAAACCGATTCTCCTACGCGTATACCGAAGGAGAGAGAGAGAAAACGAAAGCACATATTGGCGCCACGTGCGCTTCGGGATGTTTATCCCAGGAAGAGCAAAATTCCGGCTTGCAGAAATCAATATTATTGTTCGCGGTCGGCTATATTTGAATCGCGATTCGTAACGCGTTGCAACGCGTAATAGCCCGCGCGTGCAGCGCAAACGCGAGATGGCCAACGAACGAACGAACGAACGAACCAACCAACGATTGGTAAGCGATCGGTTGGTCCGACGAATTGCAGAAAGAAATATTCCATTCTCGTTTCGCCAACTCGACGCTCCAACTCGCGTGGTGGTAAAACGCGATAAAACGGTAAATCGGTATATCACGTACGTGTGGCGTAAAGGGAGAAAAAATGGTGGCAACTCGCGTCGTTGGACTCGTTTCCCTCGCGATAAACCCGCGTCGACGTTGGGATAAAAACGTAACGCAATCCGTAATACGCCCAAGTGTCTCGAGCATTTCCGAGAGGCTGAGTGCGCGTTTACGCGCCACCAGCGAGTTAATCCTGTAAAGTGCGAGCAAGATGCCTCCTTTGATCTCGCACAAAAGCCGCTACACGGCATTGACCGTGGTTTATATATGCTCATGTATGGGCCACTGTCTTTGCTAGCTCATTCATTCATTAAATTCGTTGTATAATTAGGCTCGGGAGAAAGACTGAGACTGTCAACCGGTGATTCCTGTGCAGCAGCGCAAAACGAAAAAGAAAGAATCTTCAACTCGCTCCTGAATTTATGCTCTCTCGAATTCTCCGTGCTCGACTATTTCTTCGGCCTTCTCTTCGCCCGATGTCCCTTCTTTTTCCCGATGTAGCTGGCGAAAACGCATAGTCACGTTCGCAATGATCTAATAATACGACCCCCTCTCCACCCCCACCCCCGGCCCCGGGAAACTGTCCGCTCTCTGCCATGGAACAGAGAAATTCGTAAGCGCGATTATCTTTGTTCTTCGACGCGCGATCGTTTTGCTCCGAAAGCCATTGTCGAGTTTCTTCGATGAACCGGCAAAGTCGGTAAATCGATCGAGAAACGAAAAACGCGACATACTCGAAAACCAAGCGAATCGAAGCGAATCCAACCGGGCAGTATCTACCGAACCATTCGCGAACGCACAGGACGGACGCGCAAAGGATCTGGGAGAAGTCGCGGAGTCGAGGAGAAGAACAGAAAAGGAACAAGATCCTAGATATCCCCCACCAGACGTAGAGGTGGTCCACGGAACCGCCTCCGCGATCTACCATCCAACGTTTGGTGCGTGTGCCAGACGTGTGCTCGTCGTTTCTGCCTCTTTCGTACGGACCAACCTGTGCGGTGCTCGCTCCCTCAATGAACCTTTGCATCTTCGTCGATTCGTGTTCGTGTTTCTTCTCTAGTCAATCAGCCAGTCAGCCAGTCAGTCAGTCAGTCAGACAGTCAGTTAATCAGTCAGTTAATCAGTCAGTCAGTCAGTCAGTCAGTCAGTCAGTCAGTCGGTCGGTTAATCGGTCGATCGATCAGGCAGTTAGTCAGTCAATTAGTCGATCGATCAGGTAGTCGGTCAATCGATTAGTCGATCGATCAGGCAGTCAATTGGTCACTCGATCGGTTGACCATCGAAGTTTTCTCGATCCAGTGGCGGGTGATACCGCGTCATTTCCTTCCATCAACGGGTTCGAGTTACCACGAATCCGATCGAAGATAAGTCAAATTGACCACGCTCGAGGATCACGGACAATCGTTTGCTCTTGAACGAATCGTTCGAGAAATAAATCGATCCGCCAACGTTCCGAAACGCGTAAACCACATTTATCGTGTCAGATAAGAAGAAAAACAAAAAGAAGAAGACGAAGAAGAAGAAGAAAAAGAAGAAGGAGAAGGAAAAGAAGTAGCGAAAGTGTGCGAACCTCGAGGAAGGACAAAAGGACTGGTCTACGATAAATCGTGGAACGAGAACCTTGAATTAAATATTCTTTGCGATGCGATGCTCGATGCGTTTTACGTGAAAGAAGGAACAGTGTACGCGGAATAAAGCGATTATAGACAAACCTACGATAAATCTGTTATTTCGGTGATATTCGTTGTTTCGTCGATTAAACCACACGGCTGATCGTTACACGTCGAGGAATACGAGTGACAGAACGAGAAGAACCCACTGCTGGAGTTACGTCGAAAGAGATGGAAGGCCAGCAGGGTAACGGTAACGGCATATCGTCGGCTGCAACGGAAACGGAAGCTGGATCATCGAGCAACGAACAAAGCGGCAACGAGCAATGCACCAGCTCGCTGGACGATGCAGTAGGCAAGCTACTCCAAGGTTCGATTTTATCGTCTCGAAAATTTCAACGATTTTTCCGTTAGTATTATAAGAACGCTACACCTAACTTCCCTGTACGCCGGTCTATTCTCTTTCTCGATCGTACACGCGACTGGAAGAAAAGGATATTTCATCGGAAATAGTCGTACATCGAACGCGTTATACTCGTAGTATAGACGACATGGCTTTTCTCCGTTCTCACGGGATCTCGTGGTCGTGTCTCGTGGAAGGGCGCGGATAGACAGACTCGAGATCGTGTCTCGAACGGGTCTCGAGCGTTTAAGGACACTTTAATTGGCGATGAAACTCGACTTCGGTGGCTGGCTCCTCGGATTTATCCCCGCGATATCTCAGCCGGATGGAGGGAAATACGGGCGAGCGTGATGGAAGAGGTAGAAAAGGAGAAGGGAGGACACGGGGTAAGAGAAACCGAGAACCGAGGATCGAGAATCGAAAAGTACGAAAAGACGGTTTCGAGGAAGATTCGAGTAGCAGGTGCTGCGAACAGAGCGAAACCGCTGAACGTTTGCCACCGACACTAATTATGTTAGTACGAAATTAAATCTGAGACATCGACTCGGGAGGGTAGCTAACACGGAACATGGCAGAAGGTGGGGACCAGAAGAAGAGGAGTAACGGGAGCTGGGCATGATTTACGAGACTGGGCCACGAATCTCGTTGAAACTCTCTGCGTTCTTCGAACGTGTTTCGAGAAAGCAGAAACGCGTCTTCTGCTCGGGTCTTCTTAAACGTCGGGTCTATCATTCTCTCGTTGTGCAACTATTTTCCTCGTATCTCGACGCACGATCGAGCCAAAAGGGCGTGCGAATGGGAAACGACGTAGCTAGAACGTTGTACGCCGATCCCGTCCATCGTCATCGGCTATTATCGTATCGGTCGATACGCGTTGTCCCGGCAAACATATCGCGGTAGAAATTGATCGATTCGCAATAGCGTGGCAAAGAAAACCCTCTCGTCGATCATCGACAACGAGAGAAGGTGACGATGCGTTCAACGATGTCTTCTCGTTAACGAGACTATGTCCGTGGTAATGAGAGCTGATTTGTACAGAAGTTAATGTAGCAAGTGCCAGCGACAGGTCGGCATTGACGACCGAGATACCAAAGCACACCGGTTCATTCAGCGGATCACAACCCCTTATTGTGAATATCTCTCTCTCTTTCTCTCTCTCTCTCTCTCTCTCTCTCTCCCCCTCTCTCTCTCTTTCTTTCGCCCTCGTAGAGCCATTCGTTCCTTGGAAAAGTACAAAAGTTCTCGACCAAACTCGAGCCAATCCCTTTTGCTCGATTAATTCGTACCGCTTTCTACTACCTTTCCCCTATCTCTGCTATCTCGATATATCTGGAATACACGTGTTTCCCATGTCTCGAGAACTCCACTCGATCTAAACGCGCGATTTTCTTCGGAAATGCCCTCGGCCAAATAAACGTTCACCGCTTCGCGTATATATTTTTCGCGGGAAACTTTTTCTATTCCCGTCGGTTTCTGGGCTTCAAACCCTTCCGCGTTTCCATGGAAATTATTCTGGTTGCTATCGGTGAAGAGACGATGTCGTAGGAGGGAAGGACCTCCAACGAACGTTAAAGGAGCCGACAGAGAGACCGCGTCGGTGAACCATGTCCTTATGGTAATTAGCTCTCGTGGAATCTACGCTCTCTTCTATACTTTCGGTGACACTTTACCACGTGCATCCTTCCTTCCTTCCTTCCTTCCTTTCCTTCTTCCTCATCCGATAAAGTAGCATAGAATAAAGAGATCGGAATCGTTCGAAATTCTTCCCTCTGACGAATATCTAGTCGTAGGTAAACGATAAATTACATTTACATTCGGATATCGATTACAGAGAATGGCACAAGAACGATGAACGGAGCATACTCGCAACGTATTCGACGCATATCGGATTCGCCATGAGATTTCTCGGAATGGAAAACTCGCGGTGACCCAAATAACCTTTCTTTAACCGGACCAACGAACCGTTCGTGGCGAAGAGACCGAAGAGAGCAAGTCGGTAACGACGATAATTAGTCTCTTAATGTAAGCGAACGATCGACGGATAAAAGACCACCGCGTTCGGAATCTGCATTTCAACCGTCGACTCGTGAAACTTTTCTCCCGTGTTCGTTCGAGTCGAGGAAAAATCGCGTTTCACCAAGAGAAAAATACGCCAATGGGAAGCAAATGGAAAGGGAAACGCAATCGGAGACCTAAGGGTATACGGTATGCAAGGTATACAGGTGTCGGTTTATCTTGCTCGTTTCTTTACGATCCAATTCCACACAAAGATAGGCTACGCAACTTCCGGTAACCCGGTGTACACCTCGACTTTCAGACACGACGCCGTTTCCTCTCTTACGCTAATACGTATCCAGCGAATCTAGCTGTTGTTATTCGTGAAATAAACATTTTCAACCTGCATCTCTTTCAGGCTACGATTGGACTTTGCTTCCGGTCACTTCACGCGCAAGCGGACGAAGAAGTGCTCACGTGAAACGTCCGATGAACGCGTTTATGGTTTGGGCTCAAGCGGCTAGACGCAGATTGGCCGATCAGTATCCTCAACTTCACAACGCCGAACTATCGAAAACGTTAGGGAAACTGTGGAGGTATTTTACTTGGCTGATATCACCTAGCTAGTATCATAGCGTCGAGTATCGATGGTGTGTTAACTGCGACGAATGTATAACAGAATTCTCAGCGACGATGAGAAACAACCGTTCATAGAGGAAGCCGAGAGACTAAGGAACGCGCATAAGAAGCAACATCCGCATTACAAGGTAACGTTGACACCACGATCCTTCCAAAATCACTCGTTTCCACTTTGCTTTGTTATCGAACAGCTAAGGCTTAATCCATATAATAAAACAAAAATCATGTTCCAATTACAGTACCAACCGCGTCGACGGAAACCAAAATCGGAGGAACACATGGGCATCGTGATGCATCGGTCTGCCTTGTCCTCACCAGGCTCGTCTTTAGACTCTGTCAACTCGTCCGACTGCACGTATCCTCGTTTATATCCAGATACCGGGACCAAAACGTACGAGAGACCGACCATTTATCACGATAGCAAGACTAGCTATGATCTTTCGAGATCGGCTTGGTCAAACGACTCGGTCAAATATCCGGTCGAACATTCGATCGTAGAAAATAAACCATACGACGGTATGAAATACGACTCGCACATGTCCAAGAACTATGTGGATGCAAAGTGCTACGAGACCGTCAAGTATCACGAAGTATCCGCTGCCGCAAAGTATCACGAAACGATACCAAAGTATTCGGAATTGCAAACAAAGCCTTACGATTTACCTAAATACCCGGACAATTCTCTAAAATATCCCACGGACGTTAGCAACCCGAGTAAATCGTACGCTTGCGTACACAGTCAGTATTACACTGCCCCCGAAGGATATACCGTGCACGAGGAAAACGAATATCAAACACAAGGTGTCTCCACCCATTCTTTCTATCCGTATATCTCCGCATCGATGGCGCAACCTCCTTATTACATGGGTCCTCGGTAAATCCTACTTTCGTACAATCTTTCGACAATCCTTTTTCGCGTAATTTTACACTAGGAAATAGCGAATCTGGGCATAAATAATTCGATAGATCGCTTATTGCTAGTAATGTTTCTCCTTTCTTTGCTATTTATTTCTTGCTAATACTTTTACCATAAAATAAACAAATAGATCAATAAATAATACATTTGTACACGCGCGCACGTGGATACACCGGTCATCCACTAAACAGCGGGAATAAAAATATGACTAAAATAATACTGTGCGCTACACTTTGTCACTGTTCGACAATTAAGTTTGCTTTTAAATTCCGCCTCTTAAAAATAGTCCTAAAACGACGAAACGCTATCACATGCCAATATATATATATATATATATATATATATATATAACTACTATGGGTTGCTTTGATTATATGATGTGTTTATGTATATATATGTACACACACGCACACACACACGCGCGCGCACACACACACGCGCACGCACACACGCACACGCAAAAAATTAACAAATTTCGCTATGAAGAAAAATTTAGAGAGCAAGAAAGATTTGCATCTTTTCAATGAGTATAATATAATTATACTTATATTTTTCCAAGTGATTCAGTAAGTCGCATATATTTGATTTACACGCAACCATCAATTTATACATTCTTATAACTGTCTCGATTTATCATAGCAGCTAATTCTTTTATTTGAATTCTATTGCCGTGCATATATGCTGCAGTAGTCCATATCATGTTGGCCAAAATCTCGTCGCTTTTTTCATCCATGGCAATATCCTGCGATAGTTGCGGATTAAATCTATAATAAGGCACTCCGATCATGGAGCACCAATTTCTGGCACGATCAACGATCCTTCCGTTGCTTGCAGTTGCCTGATCCACTAATAATTCCACGAGAACCCATATTCCTATCGCACACCTTGCGGTATCCCATAAACTATTAAACCGAAATACATCCACATGGTTCCATGGGGAAACAGGTATCGAACCAGTGCCAAGAGAAACCACCAACGACAGCGGAACCACTTCGTGTTCCCGTCCAATGGCCTTCAAAGCGAGATTGTACTCGTGAATTTCAGCCATAGCATCTAGAGTCGGATTATTTGCTATCAATCCCCCATCGAGAAATTTGCCAAATGAACGAAAATACGATGGCGCCGCCCCACTTGCTCTAGCTGCGTGCCACAGTAATTGCTGATTCGGTGGCACATACGCGGTAGATGACGAACTCTCTGAAACATCCAGTAAGATGCTAGGTGCATCGTAGTTACGAAACATGTAAAGTTCGACCGGCCTCTTGTCAGCCAATACACTGGTAATCATGATCTTAGGATTCTTGATATCCGACATCACCGTATCAGCACCCAAGCTCTCTTTCAACACTTTCTCTAGAGCTTCGCTGTTATATGGACGCATACCAACAAAAGCTTCATCTTTAAGACGAAAATACAGTGCCTGACATTCTCGCAAAGATTTGCCGGCCGCTAAACCAAGTGCTAATATTCCACCCGTAGAAGTACCTGCGATCCAATCGAAACATGCTATGATAGGTTTCTTCAGGATCGACTCGATTTTCAATAACATTTGTACAAGAATCAAACCACGAATTCCTCCTCCGTCCAAGGAGAGAAGACGTCCGCCCTCTATTTTCTTGTTTCCTTGCAACGCCATTCCGGAAACATGAAGCATTTGATCCAATATCATACGCGATACAACCATTGGTTGTTCCGATGGCGCGACACCTTTAAATTCTTCGTTGTGCTTACAGCCTAGGTGGCAATTTTTCATATCCGATTCACAGCGTTCAGCGCCTACCGAATCTAAAACATACAGAATTTTCTGACCCTCGTTGCTATCGATATTCGCAAGATGTCGTGGTGTTTCCGATTGCCAATTCTTTACATCAATGTCTGCACCGAAACCTATCAAAATTTGCACTATCGCCAATGCGTTTGCGGAAACTGCTAAATGCAACGGTGTATTGCCATCACTGTCAAAGATATTTACAGAACACATATGACTCAATAGTGCCACCACGCATGATAGTCGTTTTCTCATTGCCATAATGTGTAATGCTGTACGTCCATTAAAGTTTAAAGCATCTATATCACAGTTAGATTCTATCAAAGCATTAATCACTTCCCTACTCAGCGACCAATGCAATGGCGTACCGCCAAATTTCATGTCTTCCGAATGAAGAACATTTGGTTTACTATGAAGGAAATCTCCTACATAACCTGGACTAGAAGATTGACCCTCGGTAGCGGGAATATTTACATCCGCTCCAATTAAAAGCAGAGCTTTAACGCATTCTGGTTTGTTATTCAGGCACGCCACATGCATCGGCGTATATCCGTCACTGTTACGACTGTTTAAACTATTCGGAAGATCACCTCCAAGGGTTAAAATGATTTCTTTAGTAGACTTAGCTGCATAATGGTACACGGTATTGGCATTATAATCTAAATGTTCCAATGAACTTTTGGCTTCTATCAACATCTGTACTGTACACAGATTATTTGTTTCCACTGCAACTTGCAATGGAGATACACCTGTTTCCGCATCTCCGCTGTTCAACTGGCTATTCACTTCTGCATGAGCAAAAGCATTGTACAGAGCAAAATGAGCTGCCAAGTGTGCCAATGTCCATGTAGGATGCGCCATTAAAGTATCGCACAATTTTTGTATCTTACTCACATTATACATCTATAATAGTAAATAAATGTCAACCACTGATAATCCCCATTTCTATATAGATTAATAAAAATCATTAAACTTTCTAGGATACAAGTACCTCACGACAAATTTGGACAAGTATCGGAATCTTGTCTTTATACACAAGAAAATGTGCTTCCGCTTCCTTCTTGTTTTCTGATCTGTATAAACTGAAAACATTCATGTCGATAAACTTCATATCACATGTTATTTATAGTAAAAGAAACAACGTATCTGAAGATATTTACCTATATGCTTGGTTCAATGTTTCTGTACAGGGTCTATGAAGAACAATTTCGTACTTTTCGTCACTTTTTCCTCCTGGACCATAAAGTACAATACCGTCTTCACGACATTCAATGTGTCGATTACTATAATTTTCAGGCCTAACTTCTTGAACGGTATTAGGTGCAACATCCTGCCATAAAACACTCCGCAAAACACTGCTAGTGATTGTTCCAAACCAAGCCATTATGGACAATTTGGGTTAACTGTATGAAAATTGCCACGCCGAACAGTTTCTAATTAACTATTAATCTGTTCAAATGAATCAGCGAATTATGTAAAATCCTATTGGTTATTTCTTCGAAAACGTAATTACGACGTATCATCGATGTTGCAAGAAATAAATTTAAATACTCGTCATAATAGTCAAACTCACGCTGATTTATCGATCAGGCACGAGAATGTCACAGTAATGTAAACAAAAATTTTTAAATAATGTTAACCACGTATTACGTAGATTGTCCGTTACGAATAAACACTATATAGGATTCGATACATGGAACAATGATTATCACTGTACTCTGTCAAATAAAATAATCCCTATAATCATCGAGGTACATATATATACTACTTTATTAGCCTTCCTATTCCTTCCGTTCATATAGTTATTGACATCAAGATTTTAATGCAATGTACATATGTAGAAAGTAAGATTTTTCTAAATTTGCGATATATAATAATACGATAAAATGCGTTTCACCAGTGAAAAATTTGATTTCGCTTCAGTATTTAACCTTTACGTTTAGATAAATCATTATTAGCGTATCATTGGTATCTTCTGTACGGATATGCCATTGTTTTCAAATAAATTTTCCCCCAAAAAAACTCCTACGAGAAAAGTGGGAGTTTTCTTAGCAAACAAAGACTTTAGTCCGAAGCGTATAGAGAAAGAACTCGGACCCAATATTGGTCCTATACGTTTAAAATTGGGAGATCAAGAAACTGTCTTCGAATCTGGTTCGTGGATTCCAGGTAAATTTCATGACATGAGATTTTATTACATTTTTACGAGAGTTTTTTAATGTTCTACAAAAGTAACATATTTCCAGAATCAGGCAAAATTGGAGGTACATATAAGGAAAACGAGAAATTGAAGAAAGAATTAAGGAGATTGGAGGATGAAAATAATTTGTTAAAACTAAAATTCGAAGTACTTCTAGATATGGTTGTCATTGTGCAGTTTTCTTCAAAATGTATAACACTTAACAAAGTATTTAATATTAGCTTTCTCTCTATTTCACAGTTAACGCAAACAACAGCAGAATGTCATTCACAGAAAGAAGAATTGGATGAATTAAGGCAGAAATTATCACACAACAAAGATAGAAGATCTTAACACAAAGGCACATTACCCTAATTTATTCCTTTTTTTCCACATGTCAAATTAAACAAGTATGTTCATAGAATTAGAATTTTCTGTTTAATTGTTTAAATATACTTTTATATTTATATCTCCGAGTTGAGTGTGCGTGTACGTGTATATTAAACTCAAACAGATTGTAATAATAATTCAAAATATACTGTGAATCTTACAAAGTTACATTGATTAAACAATTATACGGAACATAAAAAATAATTACATTTCCATCGTTGTATTGAATATTTATAATTTCATTAATATTTCTACTTTAATATTATTAATATACCATATACACTCTTCTTCACCGATCCATAGCATTTTCTGGGCAGGTTTTTCTTGTATGTCCTAATAAATCGCATACCTCGGTACAAATACTATTTTCCAAGTTGTAAAATTGCATACAATAAAATACGAACCTTCTATACCGCAAATTCGACATTTTCTCTTTCTAACAACCCGAGATTTAATTTGGTCCCTTTCATGTTGTTCACTTTGATTTCTTGTATATGTTTGCTTACTTCTTCCTCTAAATGTATCATTGCGTACATCTTCAACATTTTCATCGCCCCATTGGAAAAACTTACAAGAATTATTCATACTCTTGGTGCATGTGTAAAAGGGACGTCCTTTGTTGGGACCATCTTTCTGCACAATTCGCCTACAATGCATATGAGCAATTATTTATCTAAAATATTAGAAATCATAAAGAAATTTTATTAAATATTTGCTCACTGTGCTGCTATCTGATTACAATGACATTTAACATCATTATCCGGCAATACAGGTGAACTTTGATAACTATTGACACGAACACTTGAGCCAGTGCTCGTACTGGCAGCTGATAAATGTGGATCTCTACTTGTATTAATTTGCATTTGATGTCCATCATCCGCCCAAAGAAAAAAATTGCAACCAGAACCTTGAGGTTTTGCACATTTGTAAAATCCTCTTCCTAAAGTATTTTATAAAGCAATGGTTGTAATAAACCGTATTTAACGATAAATTCTTCATAAATGTCCAAGACATTTTTACCATGATTTGGTCCGTCTTTCTTTACTGTTAACTGAATTGCATTTTCATTACAGCTACACATAATAACGGCATCTTTCTCAATGACACCCCATACTTTATCCTGTACATTCCTTGATACATTTGGTTTATTAGTTGGACGAGTGACAATATTAGTATTTGTCCATGTACTATTTTTTGAATTGTTTTGTTGTTTGATATTTCTTGATTCTCCTATATTATTACGATTACTATTCTGATTTCGAACAAATCCTATAGATGCACTGCTTTCAGATGAACCTGATTTATTTTCAATATTAGAAACTGGACGAGGTGTACTGTTCCTCACTAAAGTTGAATTTGAAACAATAATTCCGTCAAACATACTGCGATAACCGCTATCATTTGTTTGAGTTTGACTTCTAATACTTTCATTTTTTATATTTAATAATTCATTAAACGTAGGATCACAACCACCTATGCAAGTTGTATAATCAGTACCATAAATAGGAAAGGCATATTTAGATAATTTAAATCTTAATTTACGCATATTTCCCGAACACTAAAAACAATAATAAATATATATTATGACAATAATTATAAATATTGTATATATAATGCTTACTTGTGAGCAAATTTCATCCAAAATTTCGACATGTTCGATATTCTGAGGAAACCAAATTACATTATTACACGTCGGATATCCCATACAGCCAATATACTTTCCCGTCCCTTGCTTTCTATTTCTAAGAGTCATGCTCGAGCCACATTTCGGACATTTAAAAATAACAATTTCTTGAGATGGATTATCAATTTGTATTTCTCGTGCTTCGATCGGTCGTTCATCGAGATAATCAGCTAAAGCATTATCGATTAAATCAGCACGTTCCAATGTTATTTTAAATAGATCACGATATTTCTTTATCTGATTTTCCAAAACGTCCTTTGGATTTTTCTGTCGATTGCATATCCTATGCGCAAGCGTGAAAGATTAGCATTTAATCCATATATTATGATACTCTTTCACATTATTGAAAATTAAAGCTACAAAATTCACATACAGTGTGAGATCCTTCTCTAAATCAGCACGTAAGTCTGGTTTTGACATTTGAAATCCCATGTTATCGTAACCCGTTACCAATCCAATGCCAAGTTTTCCAGGTATTAAGTGCTTATCATCCACCAAACCCACATATTGACGCAACTTTATTGTATCTATATGTTCTGCGTGAGTAGCATCGGTACCGATACCATGTTTATCCATCAAACTGATTAAATCAGCTTCAGTCAACAATTGTGGTGGACATGTTTCTTCCTGTACCATATCTATTTTGGTTGGTTCAAAAACTTGCCCTTCTTGATATATGTGAATTTCCTTATCGCTCCAGTTTTCATATATGTATACATTTAAATAATTCTTTTCAATTATTTGCAAACCATTAGCAATAAATTCCTCTCCAGCTATGTCAATCTCCACCGTTGTTTCTTGACCAACTGCATTGCTTGATAGACAAGCCAAAAAGTGTCGTACCACAAATTCATAAACTTTAGCTTCATTGCCTATCGTTAAATAATTTACTATATGTTAATGACAGAATATTTTTCGTTAAATCGAACGATTGTCGGACTTGTGTACATACCATTTAAACTGTCAATATATTTTAGTGGATATATTGGAGGATGTGCTTGATCACTTTTCTTGCCTTCCCTTGGAGTCAATCCCTTTTCTAGCAACTGTTGTGCAAAATTACCCCAAGCTGAATTGTTTATTTGTTGGCTCACAAATGGAATTAAATTCAATTCTTTTGGAAATATGTTTGTTTCTGTGCGTGGATAACTAATAAGACCTTGAGTATATAATCTCTCTGCAATTTTCATAGTTTCCTTTGCACTTAAGTGAAGTTTACGAGAACCTTGCTTTTCCAATTCCTAAGTTTATTAAATTTAAAAAAGTAAATTACAGCATATCCTTCTTCACTGAAACTACTGCTTTATTACTTACAACTGTGTCCAGTGGTAATGGTCTCCACTTACTCTTAGGTTTGCTTACTATTCTTTGTACGGTAGCACTAGGTTGCTCCAAACAAATGTCAAAAAGTACTTCGCAAGGTAATTTTTCAAATAATCTCCCTCTAGCCCATCTAAATTCCACAGAAATACCATCACGAATATCCATTACTTTTATCTTCCAATATGGCTCTGGCTGAAATCTTTCTATCGCTAAGAATCTCTCGACTACAAATCCTAATGTAGGAAACTGACAGCTACCATAACTGATCATCATATCAGCCAAATTCCTGGGAAATACTTTTCTCAGTCTCATTGTTTGAAATCTTGTAAATGCGGCACCTATAAAATGTTGTCTACGTTACATGCAAGTTTATAAATCTGATAATAATATTTACCTGAGATGTGATCTGTTACATACCTATTCTTAAATCTAATTCACTTCGGACATCAACAGCATCACTAATTGCTTTGTTCGGTTCGCATAGGTTTTGAAGAGATCGATTCACAGATGTTTGTGTAATCTCTGAAAATTTTGCCCTTACAGAAAAGACATTTATTATTACATGGCACAATATACAATTACATGGATAACTTATTTTATGAATACCTATATATGCGGACATCGGGCTTAATCGCACAACACACTTGAATAACTTCGAAACCTATATTTTCTCCTTCACGATCACAATCAGTCCAAATTATTAATGCACTGCATTTTTGTATTTCTCGTTCCAATGTTTTTTTGATTTTAATAGAATTCTCTTCTAAACACTGCTTTATTACAGGTGCATCGAATAAACATAATGGTTGACAAGCTCCCCATTTACAATATGTTCCAATAAATGTATAGTTTAATAAATGACCAGATACAGACGTCATAATCATATCACAATTTTGATTCCATAGATATGTGCTGAATTCAAAAATTTTATTATATGGAGATAATCCTTCTCTCTACAAAATATAAAGTACAATAAATATCGTTTATATACTATTTCATATATTTTAACTAAAATAACTTTACAATTACCCGTTTGCAATTACCACGGGACAAATAGCCTGCAATATTTTTTGCGGCGTCGTGCTTTTCTGCAACGTTAAGGACTTTCATGACCATAGTAGAACTGTTGAATTTTATGAGAAACTGGCAATATTGCTTTGATTCACATAAACTTAACTTTACAATATTCAATATCTCCGTAACGAATAACATAGCACAACATAATCGCTATTTACTTCAAAAGGGTTATAAATTATTTAACAACTCTACGAAATATCATCCTGTTAAATATAAAAAAAATGCATTTATCTTTATTTATAAATTCTTAAACTACAATCATTAAATACAATAATTCATATTGTTTTACATGCTTTTCTACTATATTAAATACGACTTACATAACGAAATTAAATTTCAGTTGCCGCCGTCTATGTTGTTTAGCTACTTCAGTTGTGTCAAGCAATGTACGAAACCTCGTCATCTAATAATTCCTATTAAGACAAAATTATCTACGATTCAGTGGGCATTAGTGATTGATATTGCAATTTAATAAAATTAATACACATTGAGATATGTAATTTTTAACAGATTAAAAATGATAGGATACACATTCTTTAGAACAAACAGTAACTTTTTCATCGTAAACGTTGCAAGTGTGTTAACACAAGGAGGAAAGAGCTGGAAATAGCAGTAGACATTTTCAATATTTTGCACAGTAATTTTGGCTTTTATGCACCTTTATTAGAGCATGAGTAAGTAAATAACGTTACTGTCTGAAGAATATTATCCAATGTATACAATTACGTCAAATTTCGTAAAGTAAATTTTATTTACGTTTGATATTAAATATTCAGTGACACATTCCACACTTTCAATGTAGTCTTTTATTTTTTCCTGTTTCATCTTGTTGTTTAATACCTGTTTTAATTATTTACATTTAATAATTTTACGATTATATCGTATGATCTTAATTAATATTTTAAATACGTTTATAAATGTAACCTTGCGACTGTTACTATTTTATTATTTAGAATGCGATATTGTGTATGTGTGTGCGCGCGTGTGTTCGTGTGTGTTTGCGCGTGTGTGCCCGCGTATATGCATGTATATCAATCATATATACGCATTTTATATAGCGCGTACATTATGCGTGTACACACACACACGCGCGCGCGCGAACACACATACACAAGTGTGCGCGCGCATACATATATGCATGCAAATACATATTCTGTATTTATTATACAATTTTTGTGCATTTTTCTTACAGCAAATTAATCGTTGCTTTAATCAATTAATTTGAACAAAGTCAAACATGACGGAGGACATGTCTGGAGCAGACATTTGCAGAGTTTGCAGGTCTGAGGGTCTTGTAGACCGACCTCTTTTCCATCCTTGTATCTGCACAGGCAGTATTAAATGGATACACCAGGAGTGTCTAGTACAGTGGATGCGATATTCACGTAAAGAATATTGCGAACTTTGCGGATATCGTTTCTCTTTTATGCCAATTTATAGCCCAGATATGCCGCGTCGTTTACCATTAAGAGATGTCGTCGGGGGATTATTTTCTAATATTGTAACAGCAGTAAAATGCTGGTTACATTATACTTTAGTTACAATAGCATGGTTAGGAGTAGTTCCATTGACTGCCTGTCGAACTTACAGGGCACTGTTTAGTGGACCTCTTGATCTGGTTCGAGTAAATACTTTCTTATAATTTCAAAATATGTTTTGATCTCTAACATTTTATGGCAAAAGATGAAATAATACTGTATTTTTGTTTACAGATAATGTCATTACCAATGGATATGCTATCTGCAGAAAATATATCATCAGATGTATTTCATGGATGCTTCGTAATGACGTGCACTCTGTTTGCATTTATTGGTCTAGTATGGTTAAGAGAACAGATTTTACACGCTGGTGGTCCAGATTGGCTTGACCGAGATAATGTACAATTACCTCCTGTTGATCATCCACCACTCAATTTAGTGGTTCCCATGCAACAGTTCCAAGAACAAAGGGCTCTTCAACAACAAGAAATTCAAGATAATAACAATGTGCCACCCTTTGTTGATGAACCGCCCATCTTACCAGAACATTCAAATAACGATGATTTGGAGAATGCGGAGGAACGTAGAATAGAAGAAAATAATTTACCAGATAATGAGAGAATGGATGAAATTGAAGGAATTGATAGAAATGTTGAACTACATGTTGCTCTCAGAAATGCTGAACAGCAGATTGAACAGCCTATCGGAGATATAGAACCGCCTATAGTAGTTGCACGAAATGTGGAACCATTAATACCACCTAGAGATGTAGAACAACCTGCAGCAGCTAGAGATGAATTGGGCGTAGATGGCGAACAAGCGAACGCAAGAGCTGGCGAGGGATGGAGGGATCAGGCCCAGGGTCAAGCACAAGGAGAAGCTGAAGAAGCGAACTGGAATCCATTGGAATGGGATAGACCCGCGGAAGAATTAACTTGGGAGCGACTTTTAGGCTTAGATGGATCTCTTGTTTTCCTTGAACACGTATTCTGGGTCGTTTCATTAAATACGCTTTTTATTGTGGTATGCTTTAAATTATATGATTTGAATGGAACATGAGACCAAGTAATTAATTTCTATTACTGAAAATGTAATTTTTTCATTTGCAGGGTTTCGCCTTTTGCCCTTATTGCATTGGTAGTCTTACAATAGCAGGATTAGGTTTACAAGAATATGCGGCTGCTTCACATTTTAAAGTATTAGTAACTACGTTGTGTGGTTACTGTGTTACTGGAGTGTGGCTGGTGGTTCTTCATACATTAGCGGCACCTTTAGGTTTCCAACGTTCTCAACAGTTATTTGGCTTATGTTATGTTGTAGTAAAAGTTTCTTTACTATCTGTCGTTGAGATAGGTGTACTTCCACTGGTTTGTGGTTGGTGGTTGGACATTTGTTCACTAGCAATGTTCGACGCCACACTTCGAGATAGAGAATCTTCATTCAAGTTAGCTCCCGGTACTTCAATGTTTCTACATTGGTTGGTAGGAATGATATATATATACTACTTTGCTTCATTCATTCTGTTACTACGAGAAGTATTACGGCCAGGAGTACTTTGGTTCTTAAGAAATTTAAATGATCCTGACTTTTCTCCTATCCAAGAAATGATACATCTTGCAATTTTAAGCCATGTTAGAAGACTCATAACATCTGCAGTGATATTCGGAACTGCTATTTTATTAATGCTATGGTTACCTGTAAAACTTTTAAGATGGGCATGGCCAGGATTTTTACCGTATACCGTGACTATTCAAAGTGAAGCACAGGTAAGGAGATAGATAATTAGTCAAAGGAGGAAACGAAAATTTCCTCACAATAATAATAGTGATGCACTACATTATGTGTTACTTTATTTTCAAATTAGATCAGCGAATTGTCTTTAGAATTACTATTACTGCAAGTCATTCTTCCCGCATTACTGGAGCAATCGCATACACGTACATGGTTAAAAGCTCTAATAAGAGGCTGGTGTCGAGTAGTAGCCTGGATGTTAGACCTCCAATCGTATCTCTTAAGAGAACAAACTGAGGATCCAGGACCAGCAGTAATCGAAGAACCGCAACATCCTGATTTAGGAGCAGCGCATCAAGCACTGTTACAAAGAGGAGGACCAACAGGTTTCCAACCGTATATAAGGCCACACTGGTTTCCTGCTCGTCTAGTTGGTCTTTTGTTTTGTGTTTGCGTTTCTCTTGTTATCGCTAGTTTAATTGCAATGATTCTTCCTGTTTGGCTTGGACGCAGAGTAATGGCGTTGTGGATGGTCGGAGCTCCGGCTCCGTCTCCACCCGTATTACCACCTGCCTTAAGTGGGTCTGGTAAGTTCGCTTTTCATAAAATGCTCCCCCCCCCCCCTCTCATACATATATATATATATATATATTCTCCCCAACCTTCTGCTCCCTCGCACTTTTGTTTTAATTATATTCTTTTTTTCTAATATTTCAGATAATAATGAAGCTGCAGTTGCTTTATCTGGACGAGTACATGAACTGTACACTATAGCCTGTGGAATGTATGTATGTTGGGCAGCAGCAAGAGGATTGGCCTTAGCATTTTCTTGGTTACCTCGTGGTCGAAGAGCTCTGTTAGATAGAGTAAAACATTGGGCAATCATAGGTGTTAAAGCGTCAGTAGCATTTTTTTTACTTATTGGCCTAATACCACTTTTGTTTGGTCTTCTTCTTGAGGTAGTCGTTGTAGTACCATTACGTATACCACTAGAACAAAATCCTATCCTATTTATCTGGCAAGATTGGGCCCTAGGTGTGTTATACACAAAAATAGCGACCGCCATTATTATGATGGGACCGGATTGGAGAATTCGACTCGCAATTGAACGAGCGTACAATGATGGCATTAGGGAAATAGATTTGAAATTCATCGTTACGGAATTGGCAGCGCCGGTAATATGTTGCTTTGGACTTGCTTTGGCTGTTCCTTATGCTATAGCTTACGGAATAGTCCCACTTCTGATCACGAATTTACAAACGCAGATTCTTATTGCCAGACATTTGTATCCTATCCTTTTATTAGTACACTTGGTATGTATTGTTATCTATTTTGAAATTGGACAATTTAAAAAACTTTATGAACATATAAAGAATGACAAATATCTTGTGGGACAGAGACTTGTAAATTATGAGCACCAAAATAAGTCTCAATCATAACACAACAATTACAATCTTAAGCATTAAGCTAATATATTTAGTATAATCTTTTTCCGATGGTGACATGAATTTAACAGAGGATTCTTTAATGTAAATTCTTTATTGCAATTGATCTAAAACAGACGCTAACTTATGTTAATTATACATTAATTTTTAGTATTGTAATTTATTAGTGTACCCGATACGAAATAAATTAAAAAGACTGTTACTTAATGTATCGCCTTTTCGTTTAATACATTACAGATTGCCGATATTTGTTGTCTGAATTAAAAGAATGTATTGTTCGAAGACAACGAACGATGTATATTTTGCACATTTAACAGGTACAAGTTATTTCAATAACCGTTATTCTTTAATATTCATTAAATGAATTATACTTATTAATTATAAATTAATAATATAAATCAATAGATTTAAACTTTCAACTTTGCAAAATTCAATGTATGAAGTTTCTTCACACTTTAATGAGTCCAAAGAAAATAAATTTCAGAACATATAATATTATGAAAGTAAAACTATATTTTAACTGAAAACTCAATATGACAAAATAACACGATCATATTTTATCATAAAATTAATGTTTATAGCGATTTATTCGAATAAAGTTGATGAATATTTATACTTTAATGAAAATAAAGTAAGTCATATTTACTGAGAAACTTGTCAATATTTTTTCTTTTTTCGGCTAATCGTACAAAACATACTGTTTAATGTAGAAAAAAAAATTGTCGCATACATGTAACTATGTAAAAAGTACTAGAAACCTGCGAAACAAATCTAAAAGATCTCTTTTACATAAAGTTCTCGAGTATTTCCAAAATTGTGCTCTTTCTTCGATGCAATTGGAATATATACTTTACGCGTGTTATATATGACTTTATGTACAGATATGAAATTAAATATAAGGGCTATTTATTTGTATACGTACTAATCGTTCAACAATTAGTATAAGCATACAATTACATGTAAAAATGTTGCCACAATGTATATTAAAATGTAATTGAAATAAATAACATTCTTGCAAAATATTCGATTTATTCTTTCTATCGATTCCTTTAAAATACATTTATTAAATAAAAGAAATTTTTCTCAAAATAACTATTTTAGTTTTCTGTACAATGTGTGCGCGCGCGTGCCAGCGTAAGTACATGCCTAGTGTAGCTTATATACTTATTACACGCGCGCGCACACACACATGCACACACTTATATGTATATATAACCCAAGTACCACTTGTATATAAAGGTATATAAAGATAAAAATATTTTTACAATGATTATTTTCAAACATAATTTATAGTTCAAGTGCGACAATACGATTCAGCGAACTATGATTCTATTTCCTGATTTGGTGGTAAAAGATTACCAATTAGTTGAAAGAATTTAGGATGCTTCTCGAGTCTTAAATATAATAAACTAAAAATATTTATTACCTGAAAAATATCAGCTAAATTATATTTTTTATACTATTCTATAAGTTGTTACCTTTGTCTGTATAGATTGCTCAGCAATAATGTATCTTATTTTTTTATTACCTGAGTAACAGTAGGTTGTTTCCAAGAAATATTTATCGTTGATATAGAACATTTTGTAGAATATTCAACAAGCGCCAAATTTTCCAATTGCGTGAAAGTAATTCGTAATTTGATACCAAGTTGACACAGTATAACATCTATAAAATTTTCATTTATGCTCAGCACGATACCTATTGTAACAATAGGACCCCTTAAATCTATCAAGTATGTAAAGTACAATTCATTACTTCGTTCTTGAGCCATTTTTGCGCTATACTTCTTTATATTACAATTTTCCGCTATTCTATCTTGACAAAAACAACATAAGAACATTAAAAGTACATTTGTACGTGTTGCAATTATTTCATTTTTCTATTAAGTAACTTACGACTTGCATAATGTTTTACACCATCTTTTGGGCAGCTCTACATTTTTTATTGTTGAATAAAGTAAACGATGTACCACACAATCAGAATATCGTCTAATTGGAGAGGTAAAGTGCGTATAAAATGACACATTTAAAGCGTAATGCCTCAATTCTTCTTCTGTTTTCACTGTAGATGAACATATATAGGTCGCTCGCTAAGAATTAATGAAATTTTTATAGGCATATCAATATATAGTAATCATATAAATCGCACAATAATACAAGCAAAAAAATAATCATACAGTCATAGCTCGGGAACAAAGATTGTTGATAACCATCATCCTAGATTTCATTATCATTTTTGTTTCATCATTTTCAGTTTCTGTTTCTTGTTCATAGCATTTAATAGTAGTATGCAAAGATGCAGATGATTTAATATCTAAATGTATACCAAAACTTTGCAAAGTATCTTTAGTTACATTGAGAATATACATAGAGGGCTCTCTATGGTTGCGTAATAAAGCTGTCTCCGGAATCATATTATGCAAATGTGTAGCAACTGTTATATTAGCTAATAACATAAACTCTTCTATAAGTCTAAAATATAATATATACGTATATATATGTATGTATGTATGTATGTATGTACGTATATGTATGTATGTATATATATATGTGTATATATATATATATATATTTACATATCTGTACATATCTTATGCTATAATTTAATCAATATATTGCAGACATTGACTTTAGAAATAATATAACAAATACCTATTACTATCTTGTCGTTCTTCTAGATTAAATGATATTGGTAAACCTGTAATTCTATCAATCTTAAGACATAATTTTGGTAGATCAATTTGTAGTGCGCCATTTTGAAATCTTTTATTACGCAATTGAGTAGCTAAATTGTGTAAAATGTTTACTTTTATTGATAAATCACTAATACTAAAATTTCCATTTATATTTAAAAAATTATCTGGCCAATTATTTTCTGGATTTTCAATAAATTTCTGGGCATGGTGATAAGCCATTTGACAGCATGATTTTATTACAGTTTTAGCAAAACGATGTTTAACAACTTGCGCATCTTTTGTCATTTCCCAGATAACAGAAAAAGTCAATTTATCCTGGCCAGGTGACAAAGAACATACTTGACATAATTGTTTTGGTAGCATATGATATACATTATCTGTCATATATACAGTTATTGCTCGTTTTGAAACTTGAATATCTAATGGAGATAAGAATTCCATATAATGAGTGACATCTGATATATGCACGCCAATCTATAAAAAGGAAACAATATATATGTATATAAATGATTATTATAAGATATACACATTGATACACACAAACAATATACGTGTATAGCTAGTTAGGTAAACTGATAAAATAGAAAGCAGCTTTATAAGGTAACATAATCACTTCATAGTTTCCATTTTCTAAAAGTTTGCAAGACACTGAATCATCTAAATCAACCGCAGTGTGGGGATCAATAGTAAATATGCATTCATGTCTCCAGTCCTCCCTGTCCTTTATATCATTTTCTGTTAAAGCATAATCGCCCTTTGGAAGCCCTTTTGTTACATCTGGACCATAAGGTGTTACATCTAAATCATGTTCAAGTAATATTGCATTTGATTCTGCTCTTATATCACGAGTACTTCCAATTATCTTCTCAATTTTCCTATGAAGTACATAATACATCAACAATCACTGGATACTTCAATTTTTGGAATTCATAAATTTGTATCATACCCAATTGCAAATCGTGGTTCCAACCAATCAGTTATAACAACTAGATATAATGTGTCTTCATAGTTACTTGCAGATACAGCAAACTGCTGTAATGATTTTTTACTTATCTTAATTAATGGTACACGATGATCTCTAGGATAGAAAAATGTAGATGTACCAAATAGTTTGAAACATCCGACTGTTTTCCTTGGATGTATTTTTTTTTTTATACAAACAATAACACCCGTCTTTTGCTTCTGTCCCTGATGAATTTGCCACTTTTCTGGCTGATTTATACATGCTATAACAAAATCACCATCAAAGGCTCGATTTCTATCCCTTAAGCCAACAATTAATAGGTCACACTGTTCATCGGATAAAGATAGATAAGCATATTTATGACACCTAGGGTTAACACGCAAATATCCTTCTACATATTGTGTATCACTGGAATTTTGATTTTTTAAAAGTCTGTCAACTTCTTTTTTTGGAATAAGCTGAGGGAATGTATTTTTTTGCTTCAAGGATTTAGATTTTCGGGTCTTATTTTCTTTTTCCTTTTCCTTTTCCTTTTCCTTTTCCTTTTCCTTTTCCTTTTCCTTTTCTTTTTCCTTTTCCTTTTCCTCCTCAGTATCAAAATGCACTAATCGTTCCTCAGAAATTTCTCTCTCAGACGATTGGAGTATTACTTTATTTTTACTTTTATTAACGCTACGAGTCAATTTTTTGGCAAATGAACGTTGATTTTGCGTAACAAAGTCAGAGGAATTTGACTTTTTTGACATGATTTTTACTTTGAACTTTTTACACATTTAAATATACACGAAAATTAACTGCGACCAATTTGTCATAAATAATTGTTGCTTTTCAACATTTCAAATTAAATTTGTTAGAAACATCATATTTGAATACGCACTACAAATGTATATTGTTAACGATAAAGCACTTACATACGTACGGAAAGAACTAATAAATTTGGTTATATTCGAAAAATGTTTATAGGTTGTACACTTACAAAAACAATATTCCAATAACTAGAAAGCATCGTTATTTAACACACGCGTTAGGTTCAACATCTCCGTCAATAACGAATTATAAACTTAAGAAAAACATAAATCCCAACTTAGAATCGAAACCATACCAATACCATCATCTTTTACTCGATATCGAGCCTACGTCAAATTAAATAGTATTTCAAAGCGATATATATTTCCAACGTGAAATATTTACAACATTGTTAATTTAATATTTTACTTTTACACTTTCGTCGCTTTTGGTGAAAAATATTAGACTAAATATCATTAGTATAAATATTATCGTTGTATTTTAAATAGTAGATATTTCACGAGATTCTTATTACCAATCGTACAATGAACAGTTATCGTATAGATGAAAAATTCAATTTTCAATTGGTTATTGGAAAGTGACGCTAATATAACAGATCACATAGGTAGATTTTAGCGTAAATGTTGGCAGAACTTTGTTCAGGTTTGAGTGGAATCCTCTCGAGTTGGCAAGTATTCTAAGCGATCGGACCAGTTGGCACGTAGGGTGGTGAGATAGTAGGTAGAGAGTACGTTGTGTCGTGAACGCAGTGGAGAGGTAAGGTTGTTTCGATCGGTAGGAAAGGAACACAATTATTCGAGCAGTTGCGTGAGAGACCAAACTCGGTTAAAATTGAGAGTGAAATAAAAGGCATAGATAGAAAGAAAGAGCAAAAATAACGAAGGAACAAAGAAAGTTAAAACGAAGATCGTGCAAAAAATTTTAAGACGTGTTGTTAAATTTGGTGTAGTTACGACGGTAACGAGAGTACATCGATAATGTTTCACGTAAGGAAACTAATAAGATCGTCGATCGCTTTGAAGCAAGTACCAAACAATGACATTATTCATAACACACTGATGCGTATCGTACCGGCGTTTCAAGCACGCGGTTATGCTGATCATCAGATACCTGATCGACTGAAGGATATCCCTACCGACCCTAATCCAAAGTTTTTTGATATGGTTGAATATTTTTTTCATCGAGCTTGTCAGATTGTCGAAGATAAATTGGTCGAGGATATCAGCAAACGTTCTAGGATGACCATAGAAGAAAGAAAGAAAAAGGTGAAAGGAATCCTGATGCTAATGGAACCATGTGACCATATCCTCGAAACCACTTTTCCTCTGAGACGCGATTCGGGTGATTACGAAATGATCACTGGTTATCGTGCACAGCATTCAACTCATAGAACACCCTGTAAAGGAGGTAAATCGAGACGACACTTATTTCAATCGTTTCTCACCTTTATGATGATATTTATACTTTTTCAATAATATTGAATAATTATAAGTTTTACCAATTGCCGCGTATTCTCAGTTATTTATTTTATTATTGGTAATATTCGGTTAAGTATAGGCTAATCTCATCGTGCATACTCTTCTCGTAGGTGTAGAGGTGTTTGGGAGTGAAGAGAGAGCGAGAGAGAGTGAGAGAGAGAGAGAGAGAGAGAGAGTGAGAGGAAGAGTGAGAGGGAAGGAGGAAGAAGACCATTTCATAAAATAATTTTTATTTTACGTAACTTAAATTTGTTGTTAGCATACGTATTAATTGCTTCATTAATGATCACACGTAACGAGACATAAAAACTCTTTAACTAGATCAAATTTGCGAAAATCTTGTTCTATTGTATCTTTATTATTCCCTCCGACCGAATACACATAGTAACCAAAATAATCATCTTGTTCTACTAGCGTTTACAGTTTTCCTTTTTACATTACTTTTATTATTTTACTCAAGCTTTGTTCTAGTTAGCTACTTTTAAGTATTCAATATACCGTATGTGCTTAGACACTTGGGGCATGACAATTTTACGGCTTCATGAGTTACAATGACGTAGTTTTAACCTCGATTCTAACAGAGATTATCAAAACTATGTGACGCGTTGAATGAAATTATTCGAAAAATGCTGTGCGTCGTTCTTCTTTTATTCGACTAATAATTTACTTCAAGGAAGGGCAGAGAAAGCACACGGGTATATTTAGCTTTATTAAAAAACTCACGATGCTTGAATAGACGATTCGAGAAATAATAACGCATATACCGACATTTTTATTCATTCTCATAGTTGTTGGGTTTCTTACTCACGGGGATTGTGTTACATCAACGATTAAGCGCGTTGATATGTTGATTTTATTTGTAACGTGACGCTTAGGATGCGTCAGTCAGAATTACACAAGTGTGCGTGTGTATTAGATACATATGAAATATAATTAAGTCTTTTTCAGCTACTAGATAAACCACGAAACGAGTTCGATTGTATATACGAAGCGTTAAGAAAGATATTCGGAGCACGCATATCGAAACATCTCCTTGATATAAATTTGTACTTGAGCTCGTGCGCGGAACGGAACAGAGTATTTCGCGGGGTAGATCTTTTCTCAGAGCCAAGCAAGCGAACTCGACGATTCTTTTTCTGTCGACTACGGTTATTCTTCCTCTAGGTATTTCGTTATCGGTGCTTCTTTCAAAAATTCACTTATCTTAGCATACTTTGCCGGTTGCGCTACATAATTCCGATTCAAGTCATAATTGCTTACGTTTCGTTTCTTGTTTGCATTTTAATTATAACAAACGTTAAGTGTTTCTCTTTGGTATCATTGTCATTAGAATATACCGATGCAACGCAACGATGCCAAGCTGTCTGGGGTTTTTCTTCGCCTGTGCCAATTATTAGCTAACTACCTTGATTCACAATTTAATTTAAGAGTTTGGCAATCGCAACTATTATGCCAATGTCATGACGATGTTCGAAAGGTCGATGCTCTTATCGAAATAAATTGCTTCAGTTTCGCTATTTACGTAAATATGGATTCATCGACGAAGAATGTAGAACACGATGCTCCTTTTCTCTTGTTCATCATCTTCTTGAAGTTTACTCGAATTACAGTTAGTTGTTATTTAGCGCGAATATCGCTAACTCGATTCCAGATATTGTTTAAGAAAGTCATTAACGAGATCGCGTATAGATTGGTACATAACAGAATGGCTAGTAACTATCATCCTGCGTGACTATTTTCGAACGACAATGTTTGCGTAATGCTCTAACCGGTAACTTGAATTCTGTAAAAAATAAAAATAGTATTTTCACTTGGACGTCATCAACCAATTGAATGATTTTCGTTAATGTTTCAAAATACTTTAGGTATAATATTACATATAGTATTACATACTTTACATACTATGCGAAAGGAAATCGGTTTGGCAGGACATACCTTATATCGATACCATTTGAAACAGAGAAACGATCGTGTTATCAATTAGTTTGTCAATTCTCTTACGCCTTTGATGTATCGCACAGCGGATGAAACCTTCTTGTCCGCAATCGATAAGAGGGATTATAACCTAATCGAGTTAGAGTGTAATCTTCCGTTTCGGCTCTTTGGATATGTTGTTAGTACACGTGCGTGTGATCGCTGCTTATGTTTTACGTTTTCCCTTTCTTTTTACAGTTCCTTTTCCTCTCCCTTCGACGAGAAAACGGCAAAATTTTCACGATATTCACTCGCGTGCGTATATCACGTATATCACGTATATCACGTTTGCTTTTTGTTCGTTACAGGTATTCGATTCTCGATGGATGTCTCACGGGACGAAGTAAAAGCTTTATCGGCACTTATGACATTCAAGTGTGCCTGCGTAGACGTTCCCTTCGGTGGTGCTAAAGCCGGCATCAAGATTAATCCCAAATTATACTCTGAACACGAACTGGAGAAAATTACCAGAAGGTTTACGCTAGAACTCGCAAAGAAGGGGTTTATCGGTGAGATATTTCGAGATATCGAAGAACCTTTTTGTTCGAATTTGCATCGGTGATGCACCTTCGCGAAGGTGCTAGCTCGATTGTTGCTAAGGGAGTCGCTACTACTATCATCCGTTTGTTTCGTTTAACGACAAATTATTTAGTCGACTCGTTATAACGAAACATTGTTTATTCAAACATTCGACAACCATGTTAGATATGTTAAATGAATTTAAAGTTAATGTACAAAAGATAGCTGTTCGTTACTTTAATGTACACACGTGTGTATGATTGCGCGTGAAATCAGCTACTCGTGAGCTAACGTACAATAATGATAAATTCATGGAAACGAATTAGCATTAGAGATAAACTAATTTAAAGACGTTACACGTTCATTGATACCACGTGACGTAACGTGTCGTGACGCGACGCGCATATGAATCTTTATAGTTTTCAGGTAATGGATCGATAGTAAAAAAAATAGCAAACGACGTGCAACACGTGCAGAGTGTTATAAAATAGGATTAATTAGTTATATTCATCGCGGAAAAAGAAACTTGCAAATATTTTCGTTTGAATTGAAAGGACCTGGCGTCGATGTACCTGCTCCTGACATGGGAACTGGAGAACGCGAAATGTCTTGGATCGCAGACACATATGCCAAGACTATAGGCCATTTGGACATCAACGCTCATGCCTGTGTCACAGGAAAACCTATTAATCAAGGTGGAATTCATGGTCGCATTTCCGCGACTGGACGCGGTGTGTTTCATGGATTAGAAAATTTTATCAATGAAGCAAATTACATGAGCATGATAGGTACAGGAACATATTCGATACTATTTGCTTCTACGATACATTTTTGTCACGTTGCAGTATTTAATTACGTCTATCACCGTTCAACTAATCCCTATCCTAATCGCCGATTGATTTTTTATTACTAGGTACTACTCCCGGTTGGGGAGGAAAAACGTTCATTGTTCAAGGTTTTGGTAACGTCGGTTTACATTCGATGCGTTATTTACATCGTGCCGGCGCTGCTTGCATCGGTGTAATCGAGCACGATGGTGCTATTTACAATCCCGAAGGTATTGACCCCAAGGTAAGCGATTACGTGAAATTTAATATAAAATAAAGGAATGCTTAGCGGTGTAATCCTTTTTAACATACTTATCCTACATTAACGAGATTACTTAACATAATATATGTTACAGCAACTAGAAGATTATCGCATAGAGAATGGTACTATCGTGGGCTTCCCTTGCGCTAAACCATACGAAGGTGAAAATCTTATGTATGAACCTTGTGATATATTTATACCCGCAGCTGTGGAGAAAGTTATTACCAAAGATAATGCGTGTCTCATTCAGGTAAAGGACCCTTTGATTGTCCAATTTTTAATGTTACATATTATTTTGCACAATTTTCTTTTTCTTTTCTATTTTCTCTCTCTCTCTCTCTCTCTCTCTCTCTCTCTTTCTCTCTCTCTCTCTCTTTCGCTCGCTCGCTCGCTCTCTCTCTCTCTCTCTGTCTCTCTCTCTCTCTCTCTCTCTCTCTCTCTCTTTCTCTCTCTCTCTCTCTCTCGCTCGCTCGCTCGCTCTCTCTCTCTCTCTCTCTCTCTCGCTCGCTCGCTCGCTCTCTCTCTCTCTCTCTCTCTCTCGCTCGCTCGCTCGCTCTCTCTCTCTCTCTCTGTCTCTCTCTCTCTCTCTCTCTCTCTCTCTCTCTTTATCTCCCACCCGTCTCCCCCTGTCCCTTTTTAGGCAAAAATCATAGCCGAAGCTGCCAACGGACCAACTACTCCGGCTGCGGATAAGATTTTAATCGATCGAAATATTTTAGTCATACCAGATTTATATATCAATGCCGGTGGTGTTACAGTTTCTTTCTTCGAGTGGTTAAAAAATCTAAATCATGTGTCTTACGGTCGTCTAACATTCAAGTACGAAAGAGAATCGAATTATCATCTGTTAGGTACGTATCGTATACGTATCATATACGTATCATAATTAACAACGATTTATATTTTGCACGTTATCGTATATTTTTTAACTTATATTAAAAATTTAGAATCCGTTCAAGAATCGTTGGAACGTAGATTCGGTCGTGTGGGTGGTAGAATTCCCGTCACACCTTCCGAAGCGTTTCAAAAACGCATCTCTGGTGCTTCTGAAAAAGACATCGTTCATTCTGGTCTAGACTATACTATGGAAAGATCGGCAAGGGTAATTAATTATCCTTTATCGTTATATATATATATATATCTTCGGTAAATAAATGGAAAGTAATTGGTCGTTATCTTGTAATTGATAATAATTTTGTTATTATTTTGTGGCAGGCTATCATGAAGACAGCCATGAAATTTAATCTTGGTTTGGACTTGAGGACAGCAGCTTACATTAATTCGATCGAAAAGATATTCACCACTTATTCCGAAGCAGGTCTTGCGTTTTAAATGTAAAGTATTTCTCGATCCAAAGCAAATCGCATAAATGGAACTGTAAAACGTTTCGAACCAGTATTTTAAAGACTTTTTTAACGATCTCGCTCAGTTGACTGTCCAGTGTTACTCAGCGATAAAGACCAAACCCAGCAGTGAAAATATTTCGTATACATCGTCGCGTGCTACGTTCTTCTCGAACACTTCGTAACAATAATTTGCGTACGGAATGTTCCGTCGCACGGAAAAACATATACACAGCTGCGTCGATCGCATAGCTCGCGTCACTGTAACTGTTGTACACGCGCAGGAGGTGTACGAATTGAATAATAGCAAATTCGGTGTGCAAAATAGCGAATTTGGAAGAAAATATTCGCAGTGCGTTTTTCTTTCTAATTATCGATTCAACGAACTTAACCGAAAAACGACTTCGATGTGCATTTTTATACATCACTTTTGATCGGTGATATTAATATTTAAGAAAAATTGCTCGATAGTCATCACCAAAAGGGCGAAAGTGTGCCGAACGATCGTTTGTAAATTTCAATTCTCTCGAATATATAATTTTGCATTGTTGTATTTGCGAGAAACTGTTTACCAGATACTCGTTCTTACAACAAAATCGAAAAGCGCGATGTGTATCATACAGTAATATTGTTATACGTTTCAAGAGTATGTCAATAAACATATGCTCTTAATTGATACTTTTTTTTTAATTATTTCGCATCCCTCTTTATCTTGCTCGTTTCTTAGATTCGATGATAAGGTATAAAGGGTATAACAGTATCGAGACATCGATACAATTAAATTTAATTCCATGAGAATTATTTTATTCTCGCAGTTTATATACGTAATTGATTTGGCCTGTTATGAACTATGGTACTTCCTCGTAACTATAAGCATACGTGTCTTTGGTATTTCGTCGTAGCACGCCGATGCGATGATATCATAAGTATATAAATCGCATATACGTAATATATTTATTCTTTGTTTTTTCTTTTCCTAACAAATGCGAATTGAATTACCTTCAAATTTATACGACCTTGTGACTCATACTAAATATAATTATGTCGAAACGACTTGCGCGTTCAGAATTTTAATATTCGTGCGACCGAATATTTTCGTGGTTATTACGCAATCATTAACATTCAAGTGATCAATACGTCCAAAGTTACCGGATTCATTTCACACTATTCGTAACTCATTATTTCACATTCAATATGCAAAGTAAAAACATAACTAAACCAAATACTATCGAATTTCTTTTCTTTATCTTAAGCTTTAATTGAAATTTTTCGTTGGTTGTAGCAGCTAAATGAACCATTTCAATGACCAAACAAGAGAAGAAAAGGAAAGAAATGAAAATCTATAACGCGAATTACGTTTTATGATAGACCAATTGCCTGATTACATATTTTCCTATACTATTAGTAAGGGCGGCGGCCGCTCCGTCACCTATAAAACGTCATGACATAGCAACGTTGCCTTCATTACTCTTGTTAGTTCTTTCAACGGCACGCAACAATCCACGCAAGGTGAATACGTGTTTCTCTGTAATTTCCTCGGTCTCTTTCATGTTCGTATTTCGAAATAATTCATAATGAAACGCAACTCTATTTAAATTTTCACTTTCTTTTATACAGTAGCGTTGTCTGTTATAACAACAACGATATTTTACATATTACAGTAGACCAGCATAGTGTAAAATATACTAATATAAAAGTCGTGTTTGTATCGAATAGAGTGAAGCAAGTGCAAAGTATTCGTATTTTTTTCTTGATAAATATATTTTCGCCAGCAGTTTATGCACCTTTTATTTCCTGCGCCACAGTTTTAAGTCGATACCAAATAGATACATCTTGTACTGCTGTATGGTTTTTAATTTAGGTGGCGAGATTCGAATCCCGTGTGAATCCTATTAATATGTCCATACCTATGGCAACTATAAGCAATGGAAATGGATCAACGATACAAATCAACACGCGGCCAGATGATATACAGAATCGTATCATTGGCGGTGAGTTGGAGTAAGATTAATCGTTTTACGTTCAAATATTTTTTGCTTTACGTCTACATTAACAGATCTAACGAAATTCGGCAAAATGGAAAGACATATCTGTAGAACATGTGTATCGAGTTGAACTATGGAACATAAAATATTACTTGGGTATAAAGAAGGTCAAGTTTTTCTTTACACTCGGCAAAAATGTATTACGCTGAAATAGACAAGGTTACCGATCACTCTGTATTTCGCATTACTACTATTTCTACAGTTTTATCCTACATTAGTTTTCGCCTTAATTCTGTACAAATATGAAAAAGTTACCCCTGCAGCGTATCGTAGTCAACTAATCATCAACGATTAGCCATTTTCCAATAAAAAGAATTCGTCGTTTTCAGACATAAGAGTCTATGTAGAGCAATGAAGAAGATATCGCATTGTCCTGTCTCAAAAATATACCATTCAATACGTATAAGCAAGCTAGGAAAATTTGAATTGCTTAACATTAACCTTGTACATTACGGATTCCGATAGTTGGCTATAAAGAACTTGTAACGAGTTGTCTCTAAGTATAAATCAATAAAAATATCTCAAGAACGAATATGACTTCGCATTACGCACGTAACCATTAACAAATAGTATATAAACGAAGAAACGAAAATCGTATTATATATGTTTGTATGTCTACAAACATGTCTGCAAACTGAAGATTATCGAACGACATAAAAGATCAATTTTCCATTTCCATGTTACCAAGTGACCAAAGAAGATTGTCTTTCAATATCGCGAATAACTGACAACTAACGATTATCACGAAAGTGATATACAAAAAAGTAAGATGGTAAATAGTAACTGGAAAAAGGAAAGAGGAAACAGGTATCTAGATTGGAAAGGTAGGGATGTGCGCATTTCGCGCATGTCGGTATGACTGAAAAGGTGGAGAGTAGTAGTCAGTGAAAAGAAAGTAACAACAGCGAACATTTAGCTAACAGAGAAAGATAGACAGATAAATAGATAGATAGATGGATGGATGGATGGATGGATAAATAGGTTGATGGATAGATAGATAGATAGATGGATAGATGGATAGATGGATAGATGGATAGATGGATAGATGGATAGATGGATAGATGGATAGATGGATAGATGGATAGATAGATGATAGATAGATAGGTAGGTAGACAGATAAAAATAGAGAAAGAGGGAGAGAAGGGGAGAAACGGGAAAAGAGGAAAGTAAAAGACGAGGATTTTCCGTGGGTGGGTTGTTAAAGGCAGACAGACTGACTAGGTAACTACACACGTAGCAAATCGTGTGACACGAATAACACGTTGAAGATCGGCTTTACCCTATTTCGTCTTGTTTCTCTCGGTGAAATAGTCTACCATCTCGTTCTATCTGTTCAGAGTTCAAAGACACTTGGTGAACGAGAAGGATTCGTGTGGTTTATACGCTTGATTACCAAATCGAGTTCAATAATTACTTCGAGATGACGAATGGTAAGCGAACATTATAGATTATCAGAGTTTGTTGAAATCGTTAAAAATCTGACGTCACATTCCCACTGCGTCTATTAATGCTTGTAAGCTTTTTCGGCTTATTAGTAAAGCTTGTACAAGTACTATTTTATGTAATAGTATTTCGTATGACCAATCGTTTCCGATTCATTAATAAAAATGTTAGCCTCGAGTGAAGATACATGTTTTCCCTTATAAATATTGTTGTAGCATTCCTACATTATTGTACTTGTAGCTTTGTTTCTATCTATTTTACTTGCACGAAGGCATCATTTTCTAAATGTAGGTTATACATACAATATCTGAATATCGATCTGTGCGTGAATAGGCCGAAGGTACTCCGGTAAAATCAATGGTAAAACTGAATACACATATTCTCTTTTGTTTCTGCTTGAGAATTATCAAAGCAACCAAAATTAGATAGATAATTCCAAATTTTATGGAACGTACGTATCTGACCAAAGTGATCATCGGATACCTTTATCGTAACTAGACATTTGACACGATACCTCAAATGAAACGCATGCTAAGATGTCACCTACCCTTGCTGTTTCGATCAAGTTAATTACATGATTCGTTGTAATCAACGATTAAAATCAAACGTGCACTTTCGCTTGACCTCAACGAATAACCATAAATGAAAGTGTCGAATCATGTAGAAAACATCACGTAACGATAGTTTGTATTTTTGTTTAATAAGTCAAATAAAAACATCAAATATATAAACTTTCGTTTTCGATTGACCATCGATATTTCATTATGTTCTAGCGGATGAAAATATACAAGCAGACACTAGTACCTGTAAAAATATTCTTGTGGTACTATCCTGGATTATCGTGATTCTCACGATGCCCTTTTCCTTATTTATTTGTTTCAAGGTAAGGCAACGTGCGAATAATACTTTTTCGTACTGTCTCGTTTACTTCCATCCTACTCTTGCGATATAGAACTCTATCGCGTTCGATGGATCATTGATAAAGTATTATCTAAGAACTATTGTAATGCGTCGAAAACTCGATTATCGTTTCATCTTTGTGTCGCTGTTGACCTTCTTTTCCATAGTTGATTCATAATTAGATGACCGATCAATTCCCATTCGTTCTTCTTTATTTTTTCCACTCATTTATACACTTTTTACAACACATCTGACATAGCCCAATGAGTACCGCATATGGCTACCGTTTACCAATAAATATATAAGCAATCAGATAAGAACAAAAAACAAAGAACCATTAAAATTCTTTAGGTGGTACAGGAATACGAGAGAGCCGTGATATTTCGTCTAGGACGACTACTTGCCGGTGGCGCTAAAGGACCCGGTAAAAATACAACTAAATCGCGTATAAATATTTATTAGTATCCGAATTTTATTACGTTCAATTTCAAACATTCGAATTACGTGAAATAATTCATTATATAATTAACACTTCTAGGCATCTTTTTCATTCTTCCTTGCGTGGATAATTACGCTCGAGTCGATCTACGTACACGAACGTACGATGTGCCGCCCCAAGAGGTAAGATACTACATGCTCACTACAGTTGTAGTTCACTAATGAATGGTTATCGAGGATGATTCTTGATCGATGAAAAAAGAAATTGACAAAAGAATTTTATTGAAATCAGGTGTTGACAAAAGACAGTGTGACGGTGTCGGTGGACGCGGTAGTGTACTATCGCGTGAACAACGCAACGATTGCGATCACTAACGTTGAGAATGCTCATCACAGCACCAAACTGTTGGCTCAAACTACCCTTCGTAACACGATGGGGACCAGGCCGCTGCACGAGATACTCAGCGAACGCGAAACAATCTCCGGGAACATGCAGGTAAACTGGAATCAATTTGGAATCAAGTGAGAACACACGCAACACGCGCACACATAAGCACGTACACGGATGTTTGAATATTTGAACTAAAACCGAATATCAGGTCTCCTTGGATGAAGCTACCGATACATGGGGAATCAAAGTGGAACGAGTCGAAATGTAAGTGCACGCCTTCTACTCGATTCATTTATATGCAATATGCAATATAGAAGTATAGTAGATATTTCCGTGCAGAAAAGATGTACGATTGCCAGTTCAGTTACAAAGAGCCATGGCTGCGGAAGCTGAAGCTGCTCGAGAAGCTCGTGCCAAGGTTCGTCTTTTACATTTACCTAATAAACTTGATAATTCATTTTTTCTTATTATCGATTTTTCATCATGGCAAATTATGAAATTCGTGTCCGTGAATATCGTAGGTTATCGCCGCAGAGGGTGAACAAAAGGCTAGTCGAGCACTGAGAGAAGCCTCAGAGGTGATAGGCGATTCACCTGCCGCATTGCAACTTCGCTACTTGCAAGTACGTACACCAACTAAATTTTATTTCTTAATATATCATTTTTATTACACGTGATCGCTCATTTTTGCCTACTGTTTCTTCCCCTTTTCTTATGATTTCCAGACTCTCAGCACTATTTCGGCAGAGAAAAATTCAACGATCGTATTCCCGTTACCTATCGATTTATTGACGTATTTTATGAAAGCGAATTTCGCGAAAGACTCTTAATATCACGATACAAGTGAAGTTAAAAAACAGTCCACTATTCGAGCAAAGTCATCCAAAACATTTCGTGCGCAAGAGATTTGTATGACGTATAATTAACATTATGTAACGTTATGTACTATGACACGAGGGTACAACAACATAAGAATACATCTTAATCTTAATGCATTACAATTGCAATCCATCGAGAAATATTCGATGGAGGTGAGATTAGCTTTGAAAGAGATTATTCATCATTCATTACAACCGACTACTTTTCCACCGATAATAACCGACCGTGAACTTTCTGCGAGAATATCATACGTCTAGCTCGGCACTTATCCATCGATTATAACAAAACGTTTTGCACCCCATCACCACATCGTATACCCTTGGACTTTTTATTCACAATTTTCTAACCTAATCACTTACTTATTTTAACAATTTATGATAAAAACAGTAAGAATGATAACTCGCAATCGAAGATCTAATGAAACGTTCGATACTCATCCAGTTGATCATATATATATACATATATTTGCATTTTAACTAATTGAATCAGAATAATAATAACAGTTTATTAATATTACATAGAATAATTCAGTCTTTAAAATGGGACAATACGAATGGTAATTATGCTGAGTCGATTATGCTTGTCGAATATCAATATAATAATCAAAAATCTTGATATATTTAAAAACGATAAATCAAGAATCATATGTCAATACGTGGAAAATCAACATACAATATATCAAGACTAATTGAAGCAAATTTTATTCCTTTGTTTACGTAGTATATTGCTTCGTACAACGTGAAGCAGTATTTTATAAGAAATTTATAACCAAAGAATAGGGAAACAAATATCTGTAGAACGTGATCTACGTTTTATTATCATAATATAAACCAAAGTATAAAAGGAGTAATCAAAATGAGTTCATTTCGCACTTGCGGCATAATATTACATTTGTAGTTTGATCTTCTACGATTCACAATTTTAATATATATTGTGAATAATATACACATAATATGTGCTCAATTATATACAGCCCCTATTATATTATTCGCCAGAGCAATCGATCGATATATATATATACATATACGCATAGATACCGAATGTGTAACGATGAATAACGTTATTTGTATATTTTTTCCGGGAACATTCAACAGCCTGTAACAAGACTTGGTCTAACATCGACTAATCTTCCGATAAATAACAAACACCTGCACGGAAACAATGCTTCATTAAGCAATTAAAGTTATTTATCGTTAAGGAATGATACTCAACATACAATAGCTTGAAACGTATACACTTCCATTTACATATATTAAATTCGTTTTTACGTAAAAATGATTATCGGCCGGAACGTTAAACAAAAAGATCTATAAAGAATAGGATCGAATAATTATTAATTGAAACTTGTTCGATATCGTCGTTTCTTTGAATAACCTGTTACAATATATAACACGATTAAATGAAATTTAGAGTTTACTAAAAATTGAAGCCATACCTACCTCTGTGTTACGTACAAGTTTCTATCTCTAATTGTAATATTATGTTATTGTATATTACCGTCTAATATTGAATTTAATATGCTTTATTCGTTCGTTCTTCGTTTCGTTGTTCATTCGAACGAATATATCTGTTTCAAATAACCTTGCTCCGCTTCGCTATATGCTATGTAATACCAATGAAAATATAATTTCAGCTTCTAGGAATATGTTTCCTAAGCAAAACTCGTTGAACAGAACGATAAAGCGGACGATATCCTGTATACATGGTACATCAATCATTTTATTTTCGATTTTAATGTGTGCGAATAAAAGTTCAGATATTCTGCATTTCATTATTCTTACTACTTCCTTCCTTTAAATTACCCAATTTTGTGTTGTAATCGCTATAATATAAAAATCCAGTCATCTTAATTTTGTCGTGCAAGGCTGCTGTATGTAGTTCAAACAAAACCCCTTGTTCCCAACATCATTTGGCGCTTCAACGCTATCCGTGTGAAAGATTAATCTGAATGGTTTCACGGTACCTGAAAATCAAAGCACATTCGTAGCGAATTATGCGAAACATTCTTTGACCTCACAATGAGATCCGAAAAACAAGAAAAGAGTGAAATAAAATTAGGTAGAAGAACAAAGATACTTACTAACAATGGACGACGCGTTCAAATTCTGATTTTCCGCGTTGAATGTTCCACCGCATATCCGATCGGTACATGTCGTTACAGTAGTTGGTAACCTACCTGTATTGAACGCACACGGGATCATTAACCAGTCAGTTTGACAACTTGTTCCTACCATCGATGCTATCTGCATTGCTTGCGTATTTCCCGTTAACGTGAATGCATTACTGCGTATCATTTGTGCCATAGAGGTACTATCGCTTGACATCGTTCCTTTACCATTCCGTGAAATTTTCGTGAAATTTTCGTAAAATATACAAATTGTTAGGAACACAAGATTAGAAAACAAGCACGTTTAATCTTCTTTACCTATGTATTACCTTCCTTATCGTCAACCGGACATGCCATGTACTGTATACCACAAAAGTTTCTTTCCATTCGAATGCAGATACTGTAATCTTGGTTGGACAATTGCAATCCAGTGATCGAATCGTAATTAAATGATTTTACTTGTCCAGATATTCCTGTAAAATATAGCAAGCATCCTTCCTCAGACCTGTATATAGAATCACAACGGATTTGAGAAACTCGTACTTTCCAAGATCGAGCAAAAGAATGTCCACTTGTAACAAAAGTCAATGTAACTGGGTTTGTTTGTCCAAGACCGGCATCGATATATACTGCAAGAAAACAATGATTTATTCAGCAAATGTAACATCATAAAGTTCGTAATAACAAAACCGTTACATACTATGATTCTCAGCGTTATTTCCACATATTGTTGGTACTGGATTCCCCCCAGAAACGATAAATTGATCGTAAACACACTGATGATTAGTTGTCTCCGGGCCTCTTATATTAAATTGTATGAAATCCAATCTATAAAAGGTACAACGTGTATTAACCGAATTATTAAAGTTAAATACCAACTCTTTCATATTGAGCTAATCACAATACTCGAGATGAGAGTAACGTACCTAAATTGACATACGTTTGGATGTGATTTAGCGAGCGTTAACTGGCAAGATAAGGTACCATCGAACGTCGATGGATAATTCGGATTAACGAAATAAGAATTATTATTGCTGGTCGTCTCGCCACAAGATACAGTCACTAGTTCGGTATAAAAAAAAGACAAAGGAATCGTGAAAAATTCCTAATGAAAACAGAAGAGAAAGAAATAGAGAGGGAGAAAAAAATACAACATACCAATGCAGCATACTCCATAACCACTTGCACAAACCCCGCTAGATATGCCACTGCGTTGCGAACATTCCGTCGCTGCTATACAGGTACCATTTTCGCCATTTAATCCGACACAAACGTTATTTTCAAATTTTACCAAAGTGAACAACGGAAAGACTAGATACGATAAATGAAACAGATTATCTTACTAAACTAAACGTTGTCAAGGAAAACAGTTTTTAAACTTACGACGTTTTCCTCTGCCGTTATGAATTGATACGTTATTTTGAAAATTAATCGACTGTAATTTACTTTTAAGCAAATCAGATGATAACAACTCGTCGCCGTGATTGCTATTTGTTTGCCAAAACTGTCGAATTCTTTTAAAAGAACTCCACGCGTCGATATTTATACACATCGCAACGAAATATAATAAAAATGTAATGATACGGTATCTATGCATTATCGAATAAGTACGCGTTTATGGCAATAACTTTAGAAAAAGTAACACTAAAGGAAAGAACGACAAGAAATTATTCGAAGCAAAGTGAGAAATGTTGTTCGTCCTACAAAGCTTCCGTTTCGACTAACGAAGACGAAAGGCATGAAAACCAATATATCTAAGAACGCGCGTATACACGGTCTGAATGTCACGAGGTTTTTAAAGTACCTAGTAATTAAAACACCGAAAACATTTACTTTGGTCAAGCATCGATCTGCAAGCAAATTGAGGGAAAGTCAGGATACTTAACAAATGACGAATCTCTAACATCTCTATCCATTGTATTTATCCCTTGAGTCGAGACACAATTTTTACTTTCACGACTTTAATTAAACAAATTTAGACGTTCTTTCCATTCACAATGAACAATGTTACTTGGAAACTTCTATCGCTATCTTTGTCTTTGAATAAAAATATTTTTAAACAGAAACTTTCTACATTGCTTTTCAAATAATTGTCACCATGGTCTGTAAATTTCAAGATAATCATGATATATTAAACAATAATAACCGATGTTCTTACATGTATTCGCATAACATGGTATCATATAATATGCATTTTCAAAGAAAGCATTCGTCAAAACTACGATGGAAAAAAGAATTAAAATTAATTTTCAAAATTCACATATATTACTTCATGAAATAAAATTTCTACATACATAGTATTTGTATGGGAATGCATATGTATCAGAGAGATTATGATAATTAAAAAACTTAATTACATACAATTCACATACTTTCGCTCAGCTGTAATTTAATTTGTTTCCATATTATAGAAATTATCGTGATAGATTAATTACAATGTGCATCTATAAACTACAAATTTTTTGATCAATAAAATATAACGAATAGGATTTAAACCGAGCGCTCAAAATATGTAAAGATGGCACTCAACATCGGAAATTTATATACCTATAATCCATGTAAAGAGAGCAACAAAGATTCTACTGCAAATTGTAAGAAAATAATAATAATACGGTTATTTAAAGTCCAATTCATTTGATGACACTTTCAATTTTAATCTGATTGTGGTTAGTTTAGAAGTGTATCAAGTAAACTCGAACTTGTGTGATCGCGAGTAATCGCAGGTAACGAAAGATTGCGGCGCTGTGTTGAGCGTGCGCTGACGCCATAGTGTGTGCGAGAGGCGAGAACAGCCGAAATGGAGGAGAGTCAAACATCGGAAAGTGTCGCCGTGCTACCGGACATGTCCGAACCGTTGACGAGCGAAACCGAGGAGGCGTCTGCCCTAACGACAGAACACGAGGCGCATCCCGTCGCCGTGACGGCGAGCGTCACTCCAGTACCGGGTGTTCCTGGTGTTCCAGGAGTCGGTGTACCGGTTTCTTTACCCGTTGGCTCTATCATCGGTGTTGCAAATTCAACCAACGGCACGACCTTCAACGTCATCACATCAGACCAACTGCAGGTTGGTTATTGAAACAATGAAGTGTTCGTTAAACTTTTCTTTAATACAGTTCTAATACAGAACAGGTTTTCTGACGTTTCATTCATTTCTCGTTAAAGAATTACTGAAAAACAAGGTGGGGTTTTACTCTTCGTATACACATGTAAGCCATCATTACATGCATAGTATACACAACATTATACGCTTACAATGCGCCTCTTCATACATAGTATTTAAACGTTAAACACGTGTTTAATTTATGATTACGCGACACGTATAATTATGCTTCTTTGTATAATGTTAATACAATTTCTGTATTTTATATTGGTAAGAGACACTATTATTTTTTTCTAGTTACCTGGTTCAGGACAGTTTAAACAGATGCTATGTGTAGATAATGGTTTCATTTGTGAACCTCGACATGACAAAGACACAGATTCTCTACGTTGGAATGGTGAATTGAAAGCAACACATATAGTAATTCAAAACAGTACAGAAGAGTCTGAATCTGAACAGATACATGTTTCTACTGCTAGTACACAACCCATATGTAGTTGGTCAGAATCTGCTAATTTAGCAGTATTACCTGTTAGATGTAAAAACACAAATGCAGAATTACACAAAAGTAGATTTGGATCTGGAGGAAGAGGAAGATGTATTAAACTTGGTCAAGACTGGTATACGCCAAGTGAATTCGAAGCACTTTGTGGGAGAGCATCTAGTAAAGATTGGAAACGTAGTATTCGATTCGGTGGTAGAAGTTTACAAACATTAATCGACGAACAAATTTTAAAGCCACATGCTACCTCTTGCACTTGTGCAGCATGTTGTGACGATGACAGTGCAGTTAGTATAAAATATTACTTTATGATATATACTTACATTTGATCCGATAATTATATAACATTTTTATATATCAGACAGGCCCTGTAAGATTATTTACACCTTATAAACGTAGAAGAAGAGCTAGAGATACATCTGATGGAGAAACACCATTGCGTAAACTTAAAAGCGATAATTCGCGAGATGGTAGTAATAACGACGAGAGTGATGGCGAAGTCGTTGTACCTGATAAAGAAGTATGGCCCCAGTTTGTTTCAGCAGATGGTTTAGTTGTACAACAGTCACAAGATCCGGATACTGTTGTTCAAAATGTACATCACTCAGAGAATGGACAAAGCGACGATATATTTAAAAAGCTTGACGAGATGTCTAATAAAATGTTAAAGTTGGCTTATGAATTTAGGCGTACCTTGGAAGAAGCTAAGGAAGTAAATAGGCAACAAAGAAGAGAACAAGCACTAGTGGCACAATTAGGGGGTAGAGGAGATGTCATTGAAACTGTTGGTTTACAACCAGCATCGGATAGTCATAATAAAAAGGTAAAATATATTACCTGAATCAAATCAAATATCTTTTATTTCTATATTTCTTACTCATTTCTTACAATATCCATGTATTTCTAGTGTGCCAACTGTAACAGAGAAGCATTTGCAGAATGCTCTTTATGTAGACGAACACCTTATTGCTCTACATTTTGTCAACGCAAAGATTGGGCAGGTCATCAAGTGGAATGTGTAAGAGGTGCTGCAGAAACTGTAATGCTTATAGTTGAAAGTAGTAGTGGAGATACTAGTGCTCTTGCTACAACTGCTGGGGACCAATAGCTAGTGTTTCTCACACCAATTCACCAAAGGAATATAGAAACTGAACAAAGTAACATAGAAACTTCAAAATTAAAAGAAGAGATGAAGACTTAAAAAAGATTTCTTTAATGACCAACAGGTCAAGAACTTCTTGTATATATAGTAGTAAATATTTTGTATGTACACTAGTTTAATTGTAACGATATTATTAAGTATATACAGTTAAATTTACACAAAAGTTAAAATTTTTTAAAATCAAAATTCAAAATCGTGCTACACGCAAATGAAAACCGTAAACCAAATAATTACAAAAATAAATGATAACATGCGTTTGTATATGTACATTAATTACGTATTTTGGGCATACAATGCAAGTAATCACAGATGATAAAATATACTTCTATGAAAATTTTTTTTTAATTGCATAAAAAATATTAATTAATGAAAAACCAATGGTATCTTCGATACTACTTCGAACAGTCTCCAGGAAATAAATACTCGTAATTAATTAATTAGGACGAAATTAATATCCAAAGTTATATTGGAAAGCTCGCAAAGAACGCGCCTGTACGACGCACTTATAAAAGTTCATATATTAATCTCAGAAATAGAGTAATTTGTTAATTTTGTAATGTCGAATGAAAATTCCAATTACATCGGTCAGCACCATCTATGAATTTGAACGCGAAACTTGTGTTCCGTTAGTGCCATCTATAACTTTGGACTCGAAGTTTCTGTTCCGTTAACGTCGTCTATGATTTTGGACTCGAAGCTTCTGTTCCGTTAGCGCCATCTATGATGTTGGACTCGAAGCGTGTGCTCTGTTAGCGCCATCTATGCTTTTGGGCACGAAGCTTGTGTTAAGTATTAAGCACTATAAGTATTATTTTTTCTTTTTTCATTTTTTTTTGTTTTCGTTCTAGTACAAATTTGATATTATGAGAAAATTACAAAAATAATATTTACTAAATAATTTTAGTTTATATTTTGTGAATATGTCAAATCGTTTGCTTATATGCTTATAATGATTACACATGGTAATGTGTAATGGACACTTATTTTATCCCTTCTACCCATTACCAATTTTCAACAATTATCATTAATTAATTATAATAACAGAATGGTCATTACTAATATTTTATTAAGTAAAACAGGAAAGTTTACTTCATTTATGTATAAAACGGTTAGAAAAGAATGAACACTGTTTTCATCAATTATTAAATGTACATCTTATTCTTATATACTTTAATACATTACTTCTAAGTAAATTGTACATATCATCAACTTAATCTAAATTATTTTATTAAAAACCTTTTAATAATGTTATGTGACTTATAAAATAATAATTATTTAGTAATTCCCATAGTGTTTCAATCTGTATAAAAAGGCACTACCTGATTTGTTGGAAATTGCTAAATAGCCACTACTTGGTGAAAAATCAATGACTTTAGGCATTGACATATTTGTTTGAAACGTGGGAAAATTTGAGAAAACAGTAAACGATGGTAAATGCATCATTTTAAAAGCATTATGTTTTTTATCTGAAGCCATTGCTAAGATTTCAGAATAAGCATTAAATTTTAAACTTGTAATTGATGTTACAAAATTGAGAATAATTTTTATAGGAACAGGATTTTGATTTTGCAACACAGTCTTAGCTTCATATATATTAACTACACCTTCTTTACTACCTGTTGCTAAAAATTGACTGCTTGGAGACATTGCAATGGAGGTACAAGATAAACATCCATCATCTATAGCTCGATGTATACATAGACGGCTATTTACATCCCAAATGTACATTTCATTACTGTCTTCAGTTGTTTAGAGAAAAATCAAAAAAAGAACATTAACCAAAGAATATGCAATATCGAAATTGAAACCTGATGAAAACATATAACTTACCACCATGTGTAATAAGTGTGTTACTATCTGGTGTAAAGGCTAATGCTCTACACCTTGCATTCATTTTCAAGGTGCTAATAAGCTCTTTAGATGAAGCTGTTAATAAAAAAATTTCACCTGATCGTCCACAAAGTGCTAATATTTTTCCATCTGGAGATACATCGCATTTCTGAATAATTAATTTATACATTTTATTTTCTATAGAAATTGAAATTATCACAAAAATAGTTAAAAATATAATTTTAAAAACCTGCATATTAGTAATTCCGTGTGGTAATAGTATTCTATTTGTTTTTCCACTTATCAAATTGTAGGAATGACAATGTGCATAGTATTGGGAACCAACCAATATCTCTGTACCATTTCTCAAAAACTTTGCTGTACTAATAGGAAACTTCTTGTAATGCATTGTATGTAATTTATTATTTTCAATACCATCTACCTATAATTATATTACACTTTTATATATACTTCCTTTTTGTAAATATGTATATAATTATGTTTTATGCAATTACTTGAAAAAGTGACAGAACTCCAGATGTACCAGCAACCAGGGCTACAGTAGAGGATGGATGGAATTCAACACTTGATACAATGGGGCCTTCTGTATGCGTTTGTTTATTAATTGGTAACAATGCTTTTATATCAATTATATTCTTCGGTAAATTTTTTATTGTAGGTTTTTCTAAATGACAACTATGCTAAAAGAGAATATAGTACATATTTAGATATATAAATTATCAAAGCAGTGAAAAGTTTATATTACCTTTAATATTTCATTATCTAAGTTATCACTTTCTTTATCAATTTTTTCAAGTTTAGCCCATTTTGGATTACCCAAAAGCTGTTTATATTTGTTACATAAGAAATCTTTATATAACTTTTCTGGCACATCGTTGGCTAGTTTACGATTCTGTGCTTTTGCAGCATCTTGTATACTAATAAGAAATGCAAACCATTTAATTAATTTTAGGCTACTTTGTATTATTTATATCATTTGGTACTAAATAACGTATCTTTTTCTTTTATAAAATTTGATATACATACGAATAATGAGCATCATCTTCATCAATCCATGCTGCTCTTTTACAATGTTCTTCATAAATATCAGCTTGTACACACAAATCATTATTTACAGACGTATCACAGTCATTCTTGTCAATATCAGATTCAACAAAATCCTGGTTGGTTGATAAATTGTTTATGATATCACTTGGATCCCCAAATACGATTCTTTCTAACCTGTATATGAATAACATCATAAAATATGTAATTGACTTAAAGAACCGATCATATTATTATTGGGGTTATACCTGGCCTCTTCTTTTGGATCATATTCATTTTTACGTTTTCGTTTTAAAGGCGTAGTATATTTTCGATTATACAATATTTTCGAAGGTATGCGTTTCTTTTTTAATGTTTTATTCATTACCAATTTTTTATATTTTAATTTACCTTCTTTCATAATACACTAGCAGATTTTTATAATTTATTTTCAATATTATTTATAACTTGTTCAAATAATCGAATATAATATACTTCTTTTTAACACACTTGTACCTGCATGCACCACAGTTTTCCTACAACACCATCATTGTTCTCTATACAAATATTTACTTTTACAAAGTAGATCAATTTTTAAATTCTTCTAACATTATAAATATTAAAAATAATAAGATACGTAATCATAATCATAAAAATTGTATGAATTCTAATTATTTTGTAATTAAATTAAATTAGACAATAATCATCGTACTAAATACATGTATATTAGGTAATCAATGTAACAAGCATATATTCTATCAGGCAACAACGTAAATTACACTACATATGAAAGGTGCTAAAAATTTCTTTTCAATTTAAAAAATATTTTTGGAAACATAAAAGAATCATTTTAAAAAATTGTTCAAAAAATTTATTTTACGATATTTCTGAAATAATTGCCTTCATTTCTGCCTAACTAATACATATACGTGATTATAGAATACATTGGACGTATATATCGAGATAATTAAAACTTTAATGTATAATCAATATAAATAAAACTTCAACCCTCTTCGTTCAAAGACGATAACGAAGATTTAGAATCAATGTCAGAAGACAGATGTTCTTCTATCGCAAATAACGAAGGGCACTTTGGTTGATATTGTTCCACAGCTTCCAACAGACTGTTTGGATATCCAGGAGAATAATATCTAAAACCACAAGTCCAAGAATTCATAATATAAAAGAAGGATAATAGTTACTAAACATATGAACAATTCATCCATTTATAAATTGTTTATGTAAAAATAAGTTTTAATAAAACAAATAGTGAAAGCAAAATTAAATTTATAAATGTATGTTCATAGTTAATTCAATGTTGTATGAAACTAATAACAATAAATATAAAATGTTATAAATTACATTATATTAATCATAGAAATTATCGAGTTGGGTCAAAATTATTGATCCATTAAAATCCAAGTTTATATTTTTCCAATGTAACCAGCTGTGACAATATGGCGGTCGCGCCGTATATTACTTGTCCGATTTAAATTAAGACACGCGATCCAGAAACGGAGCTGCAGTTATTTGTACTCGTTGTTCGTGTAAACGACTCTGAGAAGGCTGTATATTTTTCATTAACAAGAATTCACGTTTCTGGATTCCCTCGGTAAGTAAGTCATTACTAGGGTTATGTCACAAGCAACTAGTGTTTTTTTTTTATGATTATCTACTCTTACCATTGCCTTTATATGTACATATGTGCTTCTTTGCATGCACTGATATTATAATTACGTTACTGTATAAAATAATTTGACTTCAGATATTAAGAAAAGCAACAATTGTTTAAGTAAAATAACATTTTATACTATCACATGCACCTTAATAATATGATATTATAATTTAAAAATTATAAAACATAGTTTCCTTTAATAATATTAAAGTTATAATTATTACACATATTATTGTTTAATATACCACACTTTCATTAGAGTAACAATAATATTTAATAATGTTTTAAAAATGTGGTATTAAAGATATAAGATAATCCATATTCTCAAAATTATTTTTAAATGAAATAATCTCCAAGAGGAGTATGAAATTAAACACAACCTGACAATTTCTTCTGGAAAACAGCAATTTATAATTTGTATATATTCCAAAAGTGTTGAACCAGAATCAGCTTGGATTTCTTGTACTTTCTTTAAACCACCAGACGTTACAAACAATCTTCTTGCCCTTGCATCATGAGGCAAAATCTATATAAAAATAATAAATTATCAGAAAAGTAGATGTAAAATGTTTTAAACACTTCTCATTAACTATGTGTATGAATAAGCATTAAGGGAAACAGTATATATCACTTTGCATATTAAAATTTGCCTAATAATAAAACTCCCTTATATACATTATTTAGTTATCTAGCATGCATTTACTTTTTTAAATGTTTCCATTTGTAACAAATACAAATCATTTGAGATACCTCCTTTAAAATATGATAGTATATTTGTGATTCAGTTAAAACAAGTTATATTAAAAATCATTAGAAAATTCTTAAAATTGAAAATTTTAGAAAAATTGTGGGATTTACATGATAAAAATATCCTTTTTACGGTATGAACCAATAAAAATTCTTTATATTTTTCGTATATTTGCTATAGTATCAGGTAAAATATTGTACGCAATAAATATGCTTAATTAATTTATTTAATAATATATGGAAATATACTGTCCTTTTCCTCTTTACCACTATACATATTACAAACATTTCACGTAACACATTATAGCTGAAGCCACATTTGTTCACATATTCCATCATCGTTCGTCGCCCGAAATATCTCATTTTCGAAAACAAAATTCCAGAACAAAGACGTAAGATAACGCGTCTGTGACAAATCTGTTAATAAGCTAAAAAATTCTGTTACCGTTTAAGTAAATTTTATTTGTCAACATTAACAATATTATTATTCATAATACGATGTAAATTATTACATTTTTTTCAGCTGATTCTGTGTGATACCAAAAGATCGGCCGCCAAGGGAACGGAAGGAGGTTTAGGATCTTTTTTTTCATAATTACTCTCAGGGTTAATCTTAAATTGTTGCTGTTTAGCTTTTTTATTATAAAATACTATTTCTTAATAAAATATAATCTGAAGCAATTTTGCATATTGGACAGAAGATTCTCTAAACTTTTAAAATACTTGAAAATGATTTATTACAAAAATAAAAATTAAAAAGGAATATGCATGTAACAATATGCAAAAAAAAAATATGAAAAAGAAATTGAAGTATTAAGTAATAAACAATACTTTAAATACGATGATTTTAATAAAATAGTTGAAATAGAAATTTAATAAAGTATCAAAGATAAAAATCAAGGTTGAAGATTGTTATGAGATTTAAAGTATTGGAATTAAAAGATAACAAGACAAGTCAGATGCCTTAAAGTTCAAACATATAAGAACATAAGTGATACATGGAGATGATATCATTGTATACAAAAGCTAAATTGTACTGTTCATAATATTTCTAGCAAATATTCCTGGCGTGATTAACATAAAAGTCTGTCATTTATAAGAAGTTAACTTGTTGTAAAGTCACGCAGTGTAATCACAGAAGTTATATAGACCACATAAAAAGTATTCTCCATATACTTTCTGTAACTGAACTCTGTGAAACATATGTTGAATATTATAAAACGTGGGCATAAAGAATTCTGTTTTGATAATAAATAAGAAAGTGAAAAATTGATAATAGACATGATAAACAATCAACATTGTGTTATTCTTAATTCTGGGGAGACCAACAGTTATCACCAGCCGGTCTCTGCAAAACCATCTGTTGTTTCTGTATCTAGTATCGATTCTGATGTAAGTGATAGAAGAGATGTACGTGAAGAACTTTATGCTGGAATCTTCAGAAGACACAGGAAGACCATACTTGTATTAGGCAGTTTTCTCAAAATGTTAAGGGTGAATAGAAATATGAACAATTATGCTAGTATTAAACCTAATGATGAAAATGATGAATAAAAATAATTTTATTGCATGAATGAAGTAGAAGACCAAGTTTAATTTTTTATACTGGAAACAATTAAGCTGGTATATTGCTTTGTAAAAAAAGAAAAAAAAATTTAGAAAGAAAGAAAGAATCAAATGTAATGTTATAAGTACTAAAATTAATATAATTTAACTTTTTGAACATGATTTTACTTGTTAATCATTTCTCTTAAAATGAAACTTATCTTACGTAAGGTATTATCTTGGCAAATATTTATCTTTTAATTACATACAACTATCATATATTATGTTTAAATTTGTTTGCTATAATGACTAGTGGATCATAAATTTGTGCTTATTTTATGTTTTATGATGAGGGAATTATATGAATCTATGTTGTTGCTTTTAAAGCATTATTAATTGATAAAAATATTTACATGTCCTTTATAACATGTTATTTTTAAATATAAAAATTACTGCACAAATTATTATTTATTATATTTTTTACAAAGCAAAACTTTTAATTAAAATATAGAATATCTTATATCATTTGATATGATATTTGTAATTTTGTTTCATATTTCTTTTTCATAGTCTTGCTTTTTTCACAAAAAAAAAAATTCAATTCTTTTCCCAATCTTACAAGGTAAATAGATATTCAAGTACTAAACTATAAAAGTAATTAATCATTTATTTATATTTTCAAGCATTTTTATTATAAATGTGTAATGTAATGTAGTAATGTAATCTTTTTTTTTTTTTTTTTTTTTCATTTTTCAGAGATACTTGGATAGATTGCATGCTCTGAACCGAATATATGCCTTAATTGCTTTACAATTTGAAATTGTTATACAACAAAAATTTTGGTGAAACTATGAAATTCTAATTATTGTATTCTATTTATGTGTACTCTAATTTAGTTGAAGTAGATATTTTTAAGATGAAAACAAATTATGAATCTTTATAAAGATTTACCATACCAATTATCTTAGTTGAAACTGTTTCCTATCATTTGTTTTAATGTATATCCTGTCCCTTACTTCAATTCTTGTTAAAATAGATTTTTTTTTTAAATATTTCGAGGAAAGAAGACCAAAAAAAAAAAAGGAAAGAAAAATGCGGTACAAATAAAAATCAGCAAAATATCTATAACAAAATGAAAGTAACTACTACTGCCAATTATATACAATACATTTCTTTACTTAAGTTGGTAAAAAAATAAAACTGGTTCCACTGATAATGCAATTTGGGTGAAAATTAATATTAGTTAACTCTTCTGGAATGTAACTTCAACAATCTTCTGTTATTTACAACTACAATTTTGATATTACTAGTCTGTTTATATCAAATACTGCCATTAAAAAATACATACAAACATATGATATAATAAATACAATTAGTATAGCTTAATAAAAAAATATGTTTGAATATTTAAAACTGCAACTAAACTTTTTATATAAGAAGCACTTAATGATTCAATCATTCTTATACTTTAGCCGAACCATTAATTGTCGTAAGACTGAGAAATGTGCTTTTTCAAAATATAGTATGTGCCATAATATTCGGAGACAAGTATTAAAAATAAAAATAATTAAAATGATCTTAGGCAATTGTCAATTTTTTCACTTTCTATCAATCCAGTATTAAATAACTGTAACAACATATGGCATATCAAGATTGTTATTTTTTAATAGAAATGTGTCATTTCATATTATGTTCAGTAAAGTCAAATTATATGTAATGCAGTCTTGAAGTAGTTAAAATATATACAAAACACGCAAGTAATACAAATGTTAAAACATAAATTATACAAGTGTAGAATAATGATAAAACAAAGTTTAGTTGTCAGAATTCTGTAATAGTCTTTGTAATAAAAAAAAAATCATTTAGCCAATAAAATTATTTGTCCAATTTTACAAATAAGCAATTTTTCATACAGCTTGATAATGCTTTGTATATGTATATATATGCGCGCGCGCATAAACAAAATGAATAATTGCACAGAGACATAAAATTGTTATGAAACAATTATTATATGTGATAATAAACTATCGTTTGGATAAATTGCATTATAATGCATTAATTTATATAATTGATTTTCGTGTATGCATGTGATAAATAATGAAACACGAACGTTTTACTTTTATTAAAAATTATAATAAAAATACTATTTTAATTATTGTACTGTTATGTCTGAACTTGTAAGTCCTATGTACAACTTGTAAGCATATGTATAAAGTAAACAATTATATACAAAGTAAGATACCGATTATACTCCTTACCTTACTAAATTGTCCAAGCACATATTTCAGAATATTAGGTGGCGAATCATGTAATAAAGGTTCCAAAGCTTCAATATACGTACATTTTTGTAATATTTGTTTCAATGCTGTATTACATTTTGCTTTGAGATCTTCTGAACTATTTGGATGATTGTAAAGCTAAAAAATAGTATAACAATGAACAACTAATAGCAACATAATGTAAAAGAATATTTGACACACACTTGTAATATCTTTGAAAGAATGTTTGCAACTGCAACTGCTTTTGCATGTTCTGATGTATGTTTTCCAATTTGACCAACTGCCCATACAGTAATGGCAAGTGTATGGTCATCATTTTCTTCATGTAATATAGTAGATAGAAGAACAATTCCCTGTAACAAATATTCGTTCCCTATTTTTTAAAAATATCATAACAACCATATCGAAACACTATACTTTAGATCCTATAATTGCAATGGCTAACTGGTCTGAGTAACCAGCGATATATCCAATTGCCATTATTGCTGGTAATCTGACTGTTAATTTTGCAGTGCTAATTAATTCAAGAAGTGCACCAATACCACCAATATTCACAGTTAGTTGAGCCATCTAAGGAAAAATATGATTACGATAAAATAGTATATTGTAAATAAATTAAATTTTAATTTTTTACTTCTAATGTATGTTTACAAATTTCCCTGGTTAACATTGCAGCAGCTTTAACAACACACTCATCAGGATGTGCCATATGTACAAGAACATCAGGGAAAATCTCAGTTTCAATAACAGATTCCGCTAGGTGCACAGAATGTTTCGCTATACTGCTTAATGCCAAAAGAACTTGACGCTGTGTACATTGTTGATAAGTAAAATATTATACTATAAAATAATTTGTAACTATATTTACTACATGTTGTAAACTATATTTACTTTATATTACCTTTAACTTAGTATCTGGATTAGATAATGCCTTTGCCAAGAAAGGAATGGCCCCTGCATCGACAATAGTTTCTGCAAGATCTATATTATGTTTGCTTATATCAAATAAAGCAGATGCACTAATTTGTTTTAAACATAATTCAGGTTCTTGTAAAGATAAAACCAAAAATGGGACAGCTCCTATGAACAATATAATTGATATTCTAAGTATTCAAATATAATTTAATGTAATAATTTATATACCTGTGTCAACTGCAGCTTGAGCTAAGCTTTTATTATGCCTAGCAATATATCCTAATGCCCAAGTAGCAGCTTCCTTGACACCAGAATCAAAATCTTCTAGACAAGTTATTATAGTATCTAATCCATTATTTTGAATTACCATAGATGCTAATTCTGCAGAATGTCTAGCAATTGCACGTAAAACAAATAGGGCTGCTTTCTTATAAAATTTCTATAACAAATATGCTTCAATGTTTTTATGATTTATTTGTCATATGTTAAATCACAATAAATTTTACTAAAAAAGAAAAAAAAATATCATTTTCTACAACTAAAGTGCTTACATTCATACATTTTGTTTAGCAATATTCTTCAATAATTCAGGTAAAATATCCATTCTCACAACACCTTGTGCTAATCTATGATTGTTATTTGCAATTTTTCCCAATGCAACAGCAGCCATGTGCTGAATAGATGGTACAAGGTCTGTTAGCAAAGGACATAAAAGATCCAAAACTCCAGCAGCTTCTAAACAATCTATAGTATTGGGTTTTGAAGCAAAGTCAGCAACAGATTGAACAAAGAGTAAACGAGCCTTTTGGTATTGATCAAAAACTATAAAGACATGATAATCATAAATATTAACATTACTAGATATATTGAATATTATAGAAAAATATTAGAGTTTGTGAAAGAAAAAGAAAAATATAAAATTTTGTTGTATATTTTTACATTAATGATGTTCGAAAACACCACTAAATTTTTACTGAAAATGTCAAAAATAATTTAGAAGTTGTACCTTGTAAGATCGAACGTGCTGTCATATTTGCTTATTATAAATTTTTAAACATACATGTAGTATTAATATTTTTAATACGTTTTTATGTGATTTAACTTTAGAAAACTGTCATCATATGTTTGAAAACGAAAAACTACCGCCCCTTGCACACTATATAATATAGCGACCCTATAAAACAAATGTTTGATCGAATAGAATATAGAGACGTAAATTGTCGAAGGGAATATAGTAATAAAAAGATAGAACAATATTTTTTATGTAATATTTATTAATATTAAACAATGTCCGAAGATTTAATTTCTAAAGAAAAAAAATTCCATCAGTTAAATAAAGAACTTAAGCAAAAAGCGTACAATTTGGTCGCAAAAATAGATTATGCTGTTAATACTTATAATAATGAATGTTCAGTGTTTAATTCGCGGAAGTATAATAATGTAAATCTGACAAAAGAAAAAACAGTATTTTCAAATAGTATAATGATGCAAACTGAGAGTAATTTTAAGGTTTTGGTTAAACAAAATTCATCTTTACCACAAATTTTTGATCAATTCTCAACATTGAAATCGTAAGTAGAGAAGTGCAATTATTTATTTTTAATAATCATATTTTAACATGTAAATTGATATCAACCAACTACTTTCGATATATTAAATTTATATTAATTTAAAAAAATAGTTGATTACAATTTTAGACTTTTTTATTATAATATATTTTAAATTAACTACATAATTTTCTAATTATAATTTATAAAAAAAATCAATACAAATAATTGACATAAATGTTTTTCATATTATTTATGTGTTAGGACATTGGAATCCAAAAAGGATAATGAGAATGAAGTTTTCAAAGAAAGAAATCTGGCAAATAAGACTGTTTTAAATTTTTTAAAAGCTAAGATAGATATATTACATAATGAGCTTCAATCAATGCAAATTGAATATAAAAAAAAGGTGTATAAAATTCATATAGTCATAAGAATATTTATTTGATTAAGTTTCATATAATTACATTGTAAAAATTTTATATAATTTATGGCTTTTAGGTTTAAGTTGTATTGAATAAAAATTATATCTTAACATTTCACTTGTGTTGTAACTACTTTCTTCAGGAGTTGATTAAAACATAAAGGTTAGTTTGTGGTTATTGGTTAACAGCATGTCAATTCATTTACAAAAAGTTAGGTACAATACTAATGAAATGTTTGAACATAATTTCTATTAAATACATTTTATATCTAGTCCCAAAATGTAATTGCTATGTTATACTTTTAGTGTGATATTTGCAAAAATTTGGACTCTGAGAATAAAAAAGTGGAAATTAAATTGAAGGCAGAAATAGAATCATTAAAAGAAATAATCACAAAATTAGAAAATACTAATAAGGAGTTGCAGTGTCAATCGCAGACTCTGAATACAGAAAATTTAACTTTGAAAAAAGTATGAGTTATTAACAAATATATTTAACTATATTGTACTATATATTTATATGATATATTTATAATAGGACTTGGATAAACTTCAGAAGCAAATGAAAATAATAGATCATCAATCTAATAGTTACATTACAAGATTAAATAGATCTCTAGAAAATAATGATAAACTTAAAAATGCACTTAAAAATTTTGAAGTAGAAGAGAAGGTGCGATTTATAGAAATATTTATTATTAGCCAAGAAACTTATATTGCATGAATTAATTTTAGATATTTTTCTATTTGCTGTTTTTATAGGAATTAAAGACTCAAATTAGAAAGTTACAAGAAGATAAAAAATTAACAATTAATTATTTGGGAAAGCAACTTTCAGAACTGATACAAGTATTTAAGAAACAAATGTTAATTGTAGATAACTTAAAGAAGCAAAATGTATGTATACATTTTAACCTTTTTATATAAAATTACATGTAAAAATTAAAACATTTTTATATATATTTTATATCATATATTTTATAATTTACATATTTTTATATACTATGATATATACTTTAATTTATTTCATAATTCATATGTATATATTTTATTATTAAATTAAAATTTATTTATGTATGTATATATGTATATAAACATAAATACACACAAGGCATGCTTAGTGGCAGTTGGACAACTAAAATTAACAAAAGAAGATTTTTCAAGATTATTGGATCAGAAACCTGAAAATTTATAATATATTGTATATAAAACATTTATTAAACAACTATTGTAATTCATACATTGCAAAAGATGGAATAATTTTGTTGCATAGCCATACATTTTATACAATTTTATAGTACATGATATTACATAACATATTTTATGAAACTACAATATTTAATAAATTACCTGTCTGTCATTATGAAAATTGAAAGTTTTGTAATTCTTTCTGTTTTACAATTTATCCCAATATCTTTTTCTCAGTTTTTCCTTTTTTTTTTCTTATAAGGAGAGTGCAAGTTCCTCGGGTCATCAATTTAGTTGAAACTTTACAGGTTTGTAGATTTCAATATGCAGTTCAAGAATATATATCATTATAGCCGAAACTACTCAATAGTTTTTGAGATATTTATGATTAAAGTTTTATTACATTTTTAACTATAGATTTATTTCCAATAATTTTCAAATAGAGTTGTGGCCTAACAGCGACATTCGAGAATTCCTATGCTGGAGGTCCGTGGTTCATAGTTTTGGTAGTTTTTTTCAATCTATTTGTTACTTTGTATTCATTTTTCGCCTATGAAAACACTGTAAATAAAATTCGTTACTAAAAAAATTTATTTATTATGCTTTCTTATGTTAGTATATATTTATTACAAAATAATAAGATTATGCGAGAAAAACACTTTTCTACAACAATCTTATTTACTACGGAAAGAAAACGAAAATATAAATAATCATTAGATACAAAAAATATAAAACCTATCGCTCATGTAAGTATTAATTAGTAAATTAAACACTGTATAAGAATGTTGCCTATAATTCCAACTTTGCTGTGCAGCTATAAATGTTCATGAATTAATTACGGAAATTTCGAAATTTATTAATTTTCTACTGCTGAATTGATTTATTAAAATGCATCAGGAGCACATAACCAAAGTTAGTAACCTACTCAAAGAAAATCACTGTCATCCATGATTTTAAACTTGAAGCTCGAATAAGGCACAAAGAACATAGATTGCGTCTGGAGATCGCCTAAAACCAACGTGATGTGGAGGACGAAATAAATAAAACAATAAAACTAGACAATCAGCATTCATTTCTTTACCTGGCAGACGACAAATATACAAAGGTACGCCTTTATAACGCAATTATAAAAGTTCATAAATTAATCACAGAAATTAAGTGATTCGTTAATTTTTCTTCAAGTGAACGGGAGAGAAATGAACGGGAAATGAGAAAAAATTGCAAACAAATGCCAGAAGCATTGTTGTGTCCATGCAGATTTGTTGTGAAAAGACAATATTCTGTTGAAATAAACCGGCACATGCAACAGTAGAAAAATATTGGGTTCATGGAATATCACGAGCATAGAGCCATTAGATGCCAAGAATTATATAAATGGAATATAGATAGTAAATATTGCATTAAAACTAAAATGTGTGGAAATATCAATAGGAACTTGGAAACTATAAAAGCTGTAGGAATAATGGGCTGTGGCACATGGAATTAATTGGGCCAATAAAGACAACGTTAAAGGGAGGTAAAAGGTAGGTCTTTCATGCTGATGATTATTAGAAAAAAGAACCATTTGGTTGACTGATTTGTAAATGATTAAAGATTTAATACGAAATATTATTGACTAAGGATTTTTTTTATTACAGGAGACTTACAAACATGAGTAATATTTATATGCAAGAGCCAGCCACTAATTGTAAGGGTATACTAATAAGTATTGGTTAATAATATTTCAATGGATCGCATATCTGTTTTTAAAAATTTAACTGATATACAATATTTACTTTCTAAATTTTTGTATTAATATATTAAGTAATTTCTAGTTTGAATTACAATAATACATAATAAATTTTAATAACTTTGATTTTAAAAATATTTTACATTAATAAAATTAATATATATCAAGAATTGATATAAATATAATATTTCCTCTGTTTTGTAGAATGATAGACCACTTTGTCCTCCAAGATTCATAAAAACTATAATATTGAACAAAATCCATTTTCTAATATTATGCCAAGAACAATAGTACAGGAAAGTGAAGAAGTAAAAGACAGTTCAAAAACTAAAACAGCAGCAGTAAAGTAAAAATCATATATGTTTGCAGAATTTAGTCCTGATAGTATTATTCTTTACAATGAAAAATTGTGTTACAGAGATTTCAATCTTTTATCATTTGGTAAAGAAGCAGAGGAAGATGATGAAGAATCTGTGATATTAAATAAAAAGTTTAGTGGTAAGGGCAAATCAGATCATGATCATTTAACTGATCCAAAATAAAGCTCACAACCAGCTGTTGAACCACCTGGACCTCCAAATAAGAAAAGGAAAAAAGTCTGTAATAGCGATTGGGAAAGTGATGATAAAGTAAAAACTTAAGAAGAATTAGAAGTTATAAATAAAGAGAAAGAGTTAGTTTATTGTTTACATTATAACTATGTTATAGAAGGTAGAATTTTTCATTGACTGTCTTATATTTATATTTTCCAAGTAATGAAGGAAAGGATAAAAAATAAATTGAGAGATATAAAAAAAGAAACGAAGAATTATGTTGTTAATAATTAACGTGTATATGTGAAACTTCCAAAATGAATAAAAGGTACATAAATATATAACCATCGTAGTTTCATTTTCTTTTTACCAAGAGCAAAATCACTCGCTTTCATCTGTGACTTAATGTTCGTCTATAATTAATTCAACAACTTTTGTAATTGCATCGTGAAGACACAGCCTCAGCGAGCCTTCTAATATAAGTCTGGATATGAATTCATTGTTATTTAATTCATTATTGGTGATTATTGCATAGAGTGCTTGAACCATTGCCGAAGATAGTAATGGTTTGTCTTTCCATTAGTATAATGGAATAGCTAATAATTTCAGTTCATAAATTAATTATAGAAATTTGAAATTTTTCGCAACAGAAATATATCTATATTTGCATTATTGACGTTATTAAATATAAGAGGCATCGTTTGATATTTTACATCGATACTTTATAACATAGTTTTTTCAAAGATGCAACATTTTCTCGCTATAAAAATACCTAGCACATCCGGCTGCAGCCAACTTCCAGTTGGTGGCAAGCGGGCATAACAGTAACATCGTGCAATATTCTCCCGCGTTAAAATAAAACATTAAATCTCAGAACGTTTCGTGAAGTAGTGATATCGCTGATTGACGTCTTAATTACTTTATGAAGTTCAGGATTACTAACTGTGAACATTTCTACGGTGGTAATATACTACATGTGAAAAAAAGT